CTGCATAGATAACCGTGGTTGCCGCTTAGTAGCGTACCGTTCGCTCGCCGTGTCGTTTTCTTTCAATTTTTCCACGACGAACACGCACATTCAACATAAATAACATTTTACCATCAATGGATGGAGTACGTGATGTCTTGCATCGAATTCCACGGAGGACCAAATGAATGCAGGTGACAAAAGAATTGTGCCCGGAATGCAGGCCCGGCCTCCAATTTTCCTTTCAACCGCTTTCCCTTCAAATTTAATCGCTAGTACATCACTTTAATTTTTTGTACTATTATCGTCATTATGTTATAAAACAATACCAACCCAAGCATTACCCAAGATACATTTGAATAATTTTTATAATGTATTAAATTACGATTGCTGAACCGATACTGCATCGAGACACCCATTACGTTTCCTACATAACAAAAACATTTCATTTCCAGTAGCGCGTATTTATCGCGAATTTCGCGAACTTAATATTCGGAAAGCGTGCGTAATTAAGCTAAGATATTTTGCGCCAGGTACGGATGAGGTTTCGAAGTTTGCGGTTATAAATGCCGTATTAATTATTAATGAACGCTGACGTAAGGCCGTAATGTGAAAATCGGGTAGTCGATATTGTTGAATGAACCTGCTACTTGCGATATTGTCCTTATAAATAAATTTTTGCAGTAGTTTCTAATCGGGTTGTAGGAAAAATAAATTTTAACACTCCTATTATTTAATTAATTAGGTTTACGATTAATATAATTAGATTTGTTTAACTATAATTTTATTCTGAATTGTTGGGAATTTAGTGGTATAGACGGCAATATTTTAATGCCGTTTAAAAAAAGTGTCAGTAAAACTAACCGAGAACACGGATAAGTCCTTAACATTTTTACGTCTTCTAGGAACGGATCACTGCACCATCGAGTCAAAACCTTTTATCTAATCTGTTTTTTTAGTAATGAGATAAAGATTGACGGCTAATAAAAAAAAAGATGAGCAGAACTAAATTAACCGATTAACTATACAACGAAAACCAACAAACGAAACCGCTTCTAACAAGAAAAAGACCACCTATAGAAAATCACGCGGTATTTGATTATAGGCCGAAATTCGCTGTTAATTACAAGGGAGGCATTAGGACAAATAACAGAGGAAGGTCTCCAAAAAAAAAAACAATCCTACCGCCTTTTTTTGTTTCTCCATACTTGCGCTTATTCATATCATTGATAATTCAATTTTCGATTTCAACAAATAATTTGTTTTTTTTAAATATTACTTTGAACTCGCCGCCTAATCAAGGCTACTTATAGATATTAGAGGCTCTATCGATGCAACTCACAATAATAGACTTACTTATCGTTAATTTTTGAACAAATAAAAATGTGATTTTGTATACCTACCTACTAAAGAGTAGTAGAGAGATTTGCGCCAAAAGCCGGGAGACAATTAAATTTATCTCCTGTTGAATCTCCTTCCAAATTAGAGCAATAATACTTAATTTACTGGAGAATCCAGCAATGTGACAAAAGCAATAAAATAACAAATTTTTATACAAACTGTGAGAATCGAAACAGTCCTATGCGTATAACAATTTAATGAAATGTCCAGTTACGCGATCCTATTGTTATTTTAATTGGCTCAAAAATGTTTTTGTGAGGTTTTTATACTACTATAGTTGTACGCAAACTAACCTTTATGTGGATTGTTCCATGCACCAGACCGTTTGATTATTTCATAATTTCATTAAATCAATGTTAACGAGAGTGTTCAGCAAAGCATGCATTATTCTTTATGGTTTAGTGATGGCGTCTTAACGGTGTGGATAAAATGAAGAGTAAATATTAAAAAAACTACGCACACAAACGGGCACGAGCCATATGGCATAGAAGCAGTCTTTTTTTACCTACGATTTCACATTTATTTCACCAAGGGAGAGTATTATTATTTTACTGTCTAATTATTCTTTTCTACCCTATAATAAATTTACGAATAGCTGCTGTGGTTTTGGTGCGAGGTACGACCTTCCTTTTATTTGCATTTTTAGTGGTGCTATAATTTATAGTTCCTAATATAGGTTCTGAATATAATTCGAATTCGTTCCCTCGCGGCACAGGTGATCGGGATAAAATTCGAAATTTAATCGTTACATGAATATTAAAAAAGAAAATTTTCCATAGTTGCATGCGAAAATGATCGATACGCCGGACTATTTAAAGCTTTTAAAGCTTTCCTCCTACAAGCGAAACGTCATTTATTCGGAGACCTGGTTTATTTTATTATACACGCCATCGCGTAATAATTCTTTTCTTTCGGAGTGTAGATTTTCAATCGGCGTAAAGCGCTTTTGCACCGATGTTCAATGTTGTTTGTTTAAATCCGTGATACATCACGCGATTCGCGCTCATAAAAATCCACTCTTTCATTAAGACCTTCGCGATAACCACAACTTGCGGTAGCTTATATAATCCGAAAAAAAAACCTATTTTTAATTGTGCGCGAATCTATTATTACCGTAGGGTCGCCGGTCTATCGAAATTATAGGTATGAAAAGCTCTAAAAAAAGCCGCACGAGCCATATGGACACCGAAATATTACCTATGACTTTTCGTCTAGCGCATCCTCTATACGTGATTCTGGTGTTATTAAACCTGAGCCGGTCTCATTGTGCGATGGTATTGTTATCGAAAATAACCATTGGTCATCTGTGACGGTAGTCCCTTCTGCGATCTATTGTATCGCCCTTCGGCAGTTTCGTATTTATTAGGTTCGATGAAAAGATTTGCCCACCGACGGATTAATGGATCAATTGGACGTATGACGTGGTATGTGAGTCAGGACCGTATACCAATTTTTTTACTATGGATATCTAGATTATGGATTTTGCAAAGTAACACCCTGGAAATTGTAGGTTGCAGAATTATAAATTAAATAATCTTTTCTAATTTTACAACAAACTACATAATCTAGGCTCTATTTACTCTACTATGTATTAGAATTTGAAATCATTGGATGCGTTTTCAAAGTTCACATATTAAAACAGAAACCGAAATAAGCAAGAATGAAACTGCATTGTGCTAAATCGTTTTATCAAAGTTGTCGATCGGGAATTCGAGAACAGACTTTATGTACAAATATTTTGGCGTCATTCGTTGCCCCAATAACATGCTTGTGTCACAACGATTTCCTAAATAGATATACCTATTATAGATTTTTCGATTTCGTCCTTAAAAAAAATGGCATGTGTTCCGGCTTCGTCCCGGCACGGGCTCTCGTTAACAGTACACCGACGAAAAAGATGACGGGTCTAGAAAGCATCTGTTGCCTTTTGTTTCATATAAAAAAAACTCCACTTCGCCTTATACAGGGTGTCCGGTTTTGCGATTGCCTCGCGTGTTATAATTGCGCAACGAAATTCGAGGGAATGTTTTGCTCGTTAAATTGAAAGTTTGTTCATTTGTACGTAATTAATTTTTGTTCCATCTTGAAAATGAGTTATAATTTAATTGTTTTTACTAAATTTCTTATAACTGAAGCTTGCCCAAATAATACATGATTCCTGTCGTTCTCAATATTTGATCATTTGGGAAACATAAATTTCTTAATGATAGGATTCAGACAAGTATGCAACTATTATTAAGAAAATTGCTTATTTTTATGTATACATATTGGTTATTAAATTAGCCATCCTGTATACAAATTTCTATGATTCCTAATTTATAAAAAACGCCGGCATAATTTAGCGGGTAGAATAGCGAAATTAACTTTCCTTGCTTATTAGGAAAGTCAATTTATTTTCGAAACATATGTTTACGTATCCCGTGGCACGGACTCTTTTTTTTATTCGGGCTTTTCATTTTTGTTGTTTACCTATTAAAACACATCCCGCGCATATGTTCATTTTGTAATAAGAGGCTGTTAGAGGCCATTAGGACACGTGCTATAAAACGTATCGAAATTTTCGTGAACCGCACCATAGTTTTTCTATGCTTGCGATATATTTTAAAACAATTAAGATGATTGCCTTTAAAAATGAATTTGCATTTCCGTAATTGGCTATCTCGCGAAGATAAAAGAGGCTCTCGCTCTGTCTTGGAATGAATTTTTTTTAAAGGATTCCGACGCTTAGTAGGAATTCCTGCCGGATTTCTTGTTAACTTGTCTGTCCCATTTTACGAGATGTTTTGCATTTCATTTAATTAAACCGAAATTGGGCAATCAACTGAAATTTTTTTACGATGCGAGGCGCTCTATCATTAAAGAGTGATTTGTTGGGCCACTCTATTAACTCACTGATGCGCTACCTGCCCCCTTTTTCGGTTCTCCTTCATTGTTTGGAACTCAAGGAATGCGCTTTGAAGGCGTTTATTAACGCAGAAGGCCGACCCTGTTGATGTATTGGACAACAATTAATATGGAAATGGCCGTTTAATTGGTTCGATGGAAATAAAAGAGTAAATACCCGAGCGGTGGGAGAGGAAAAACGAAAAGATTTCAGTCGTCGTTTGAAATTTATGCCGAACGATTTTAATTGTTCATTTCGTTAGTTTCGTTACATTCGTTTGCTTGTAACCTAATGGGATGAGGTTTAATTAGAGAAGGTTTTATGCCGGTCGGTGCACAAACGATTGTCGTCGAAACGGATTATAAATTTCGGGACATAATCTGCTCGACACTTTTCGGCATTCGAATGACAGGTATAAAAGTATTATATGCCAAGTTGAAGCAAATACGCATGCAAAAACCGAAATACCCACGGGTTATTGTGCTCGATCGGACCCCGTAAAATTTCGACAATGCGATTTGATGTCAGAATAGGGCCACATTTTGATGTTTCGTCAATCTCCAATTCACTACGTTTGTTGGCTAAATTCGATAATATGTGACTGATGCGTTTTGTATGCCCGCCCCTTGCAAAGCATTCCTTCGATAATTAGGGTATGAAATAAACATATTTTGGTCGGGCCGCATTGTCGATGCCATTGAATTTATTCTGACGATTCCGTTTCTTTTATTTACAGATGCGTGTTCTTCTCGCACAACACCAAAACCTAGGCCTCCGGCTCCTACACATCGGCCCAACATCACATTCATCACGTACCCTTGTCCGGACGATTACGCTAGATGGTATTGTCTCAACGGAGCGACGTGTTTCACCGTCAAAATCGGAGACGCTCTACTCTATAGCTGCGAGTAAGTAAATACCTAAATTAGCTCTACTATAAAGCTTCAAATTCGCATCGAAGATGATGGAGATTCTTGCAGTTTTCCTATTCCTGTTGGTGGTTATTGGTTTGAAATGCTTAATGCGGTATTCTGGTATTCTTATCAGATCAAGGGAAAAAGATTTTGCTGTTTACTAGAAATAGGTTGACTAGTTTGCGAGATAATTCAAGAGCATTTGAGGCCTCGGATGTGATATTTGGTCAGCTCCTTTATTCCTTAGAATATCATTTGTGATCTGATTGATTAGTAATGGTATAATTTCTTTCCAGATGCGCAGAAAGTTATACGGGACAGAGATGTGAATTCAAAGATTTAGATGGATCCTATTTACGTAAGTTGAACGTTTTGAAAAATCGCTCGAACGTAAAATAATGTTTCCGTTTTTTTATTGTAGCATCACAACAAATGTTGGAAACGGCGAGTATAGCTGGCGGAGCAACTGTAGCCGTGTTTTCCGTAGTGATATTGTGCATTGTGGTGTACCTGCACTACAAGCGTCGCTCTAAAGCGAACAGGACTGGTACTGAGTGTGTAGATAGTAGAACGACAGCTGTGAACACTTCAACATTCGGAGATCGATGGCGGACGAATCCGCAACAGCCGTTGCCCGATCTTCCCGTTCGAGTGCAGGATAGGGGCGACATGAAGGAGCAGGATAGCAAAGTGGAGTTGCAACAAGTGACGACGCTATGGCCCGCTCCGAACGAACCGTGATGCGTTTTGTTAGTGCATAGCTAGCAATAAAATAATAAAAGTACTGCTATTTAAAAGGAATTAAATTGATAGTGATGTCGGCTTTAATAGTGCGTATTACCTTGCTGTAATTAGTGAATTAACAGTGAAATAAACCAAATTTATTACACCCCCTTGTATAAAACTTTTTGTTGATGAAAGGTAAAGGAAAAGTGAATAGGCACTTTGTTATATGCAGCTTTGCTAAATAACTTATTTTATTTTTTTATTATACATACACTGTGCAGCTTTATGTTCTGCATGTCAATATTTTTGGCACTAAATTATGAGGATAAAACAAAAGTTTGATATTGTAATATTAACGGATTTTATAATTTTTTCTCATTAGATGTACCTGCTTTAGATGGTTCTAATCAGGTATAATTGTTGTTTTTTTTTAAAGAGGTACAAAATTTTCCGATAGCAACCGGTCACTCCTTGCTAGCTATGACAATATTGTAATCTCGTAGTAAGCAAAAAAAACTGTATCCAAAAACAGTGTTATTTGTACAGCAAGTCTGATATATATAAGTCTGAAATAAGTTATGTAAGTTATTCAACAATGTAAATAAATACGTATGTATACCTCTCCGGAGGTATTTTAATAAAAAGCAATTGTATAAATCAGTTACGTATGTCTAGAACTGTGCGAATCGAATGGTTTTAAATTGTCATTTTTTTACTTGTGCTAAAAAAAGTATATTACATTCCCGGACATATTTGTTGATTCAACCTCGCTAACACTTCGTTATTGTTAACTTGTTATTTTTTCTCTTCGATTCAGATCCAGTTGTTCGGCAAGACTCTCTTTAAGAAGTACAAATTTCTTATGTAATGAAGCGCGTGATCGCCTCAAATGCAACGCCGCATGCTCTTTAAGGATTTTTTTTGTTCTAATCGCAACTTTAAAAGGATTTTACGAATGAAATGTGAAACTGAGCGAAAATCTTTTGCTGTAAATCTAACGTGCTTTGATTTCAGTGCCTGTTTTGCGTTCAAAATGGCACGGAATTTTGGAAAATTTCGCGAGATAAAAACGGAATGACTGTCGCATATCTGTTGTTGTTTGAGTTTTTTGAACAGGAAAATTAACAATGATAAAAATGCTACATTCTGTTTAATAAATTGGGCGATTATCGAATTGAAAATTGAAAATTTTAGGCGAATGTTCATTGGGTTCTTCTAAAATTTTCCGTTCAAATTGGAAATTTCCACGGCAAATGTATTTTCTCGTTGGAGATTCGATGTTGAATTGAAAGCTAAATTACAGCAATCGATAATGCTTTAGTGAACAGTCGATTTTTAAATAATTGTAAAATCTTTTTAAAAAACAATTGCATAGTCAAAGTAAACACGTTTTTCGAGTAAAATTACTTGGCACTTATTTTCCTTTCCTCTTATTCTCTAAATGCGCTTTGTTTTGAGGAGAATTCAAAAAAGCTAGTTTCTTTTTTGCGAAAAAATAAATTGTCGACAACAACTGTCTTCTGTTGTATAAATGTAGATAATGAGTAATTATATTCCAATAATAAATGTGTAAGCATTTAATTATTATTGGCAATAATTATGTAATTTAGTAATTTAATATTTATAAGCACTTGGTTCCTAATTTATTAAAATAACTTTTTTGTATTGTTTTAGAGGAAAAAGAAAATATTTTCTACATTCCAAAGTTGCAGGCATCTTTTACTTGTTCTCTTTTATATTTTTTTAAATTATTCGAGTATTCTAACAAAGCTTATATTTATTGTTTTTTCCCATTATTTGTCTGATGTTTGCCACTTTGGAATATAGCCGATATTGAATTGCCAGTTTATCAATGTAAAATAATATGCTCCAAACCAAAGCTTTAGTATAATTTGTACAACATAATTGATAATTTTATGTAATTTATATGTTTGGCAAATTTCTTTTAATTTATCTTCATTTTAAATTTCTTAGGCTTTAAAATTTCTTATTTTTCTCTATATTGTTTCTCTAAAGAGATCTTTTGCTGCCGTCTTGTTATTTGTTCCCGAATTTGCTTATTATCAAGATTATTAATTTCATATGTACTTTTTTAATGATTTTGTGAATATTTTAACTAAAATTGTTAAATCATTACGATGCTTTAGGGTACTTCTGGTAAAAAACGAATAATTTACAGTGTAACCCATCTGCCTATCAAATTAATTCGATTTTCAATATATGTTGCACAAATTTAATCTATCAGACTTCAAGTATTAATATCATTAATATATTAATTGTTTCTTGTATGAAATTTCTACCCTGCGAGCTCAGTGTAGTTTTATATAATTTGGCGTCCTTTTTATCTCCGTCTAAAAGAGTCGTGTATATAATTTTCATGAACAAATGTTAGAATACTTATTTGTTTATTATTTTCACATATGTAATAAATTAAAATAAAAACGATAATAAAATATTACTTGATGAAAGTGGATGCTTTTTATATTCCAAACAATTTTAAACATCCAGTAATGACAATTACCAACGAAACTAGCAAATTCAACGTTGATGAATGTTCCTACATACTAATCCTGCTCCTTATCATCACACATTGTAAATTGTCGATGAGTATAATTATTGTTGTGTGATACATTCATAATTTTTAAAGAAGGATTGGGTTTTTTAAATCAAAAGGATACTATAGTAAACGAACATCCATGAAAAATAAGTATGTTCTGTGCATGTAACACAGAACATACATAAACAAGAAGGGACATCGCCGTGAGAATTTCGTAGACGTTGTAGAGCGCACCCTGAGAGCATGGGGAAACACTAACTAGTAATAGTTGTAATGGATGTTGCATAGTAAAGAGAGGATTCTATATACACAATCGTGTAATACTGGTTTTCTATTCGACTTTTTTCTTTTTCTTGCTCATATTATCTATCCAATTTCTTGTAAAACTTGTACAATTTATTATACTATTACAATAAAAATTATATAAAATGTATAAGAATTTTATATAATTATTAAATATACATAGTATAATAAATTGTACAAGTTTTACAAGAAATTAAGAAATGAATTAACGACAATAACGTTTCATTTTAAAAAATATATTTAAAAAACATACATTTTTTTAGACTTCATATTAGACATTAACTAATTCAATATAAATTAATACCTACATAAATATAAAAACAATACATTTATAAATAGTATAATATTAAAATAATTCATAATTTTAAATGTAAACCTACATAATATGAATAATAATTTAGATTTTGATGTCCTTGGGCCTATTAACAATACAATAATTAGTTTACAAACCTTTTTCTGAGAAATCCAGTCATTTTATATCAATGGCTTGCTGAACCCAATAGAACTATGTATCTCTATTTTCTGTAACAAAAAAATAAGCAGTTAATATGAATAAAAATGATATTTGGGTTTAAATTATGTACTAATGTTAATTATATTTACCTAGCAAAGAAAGCATGACACAGCAATCTTGTCTAATTTCAGACCCTCCGATGATTGGAATTTGAAATCCACTTTTAATAAATGGCGGTCGACGCTGCAACACTTTCCAAGTCTTGTAGCAATAGAATGGTAGAATCACGTTAACATTACACAAATAATTTATAAAACTCACAGCTAATACCAAAGCACTTTGTATAATAGTCGATAACTAACAATAGTTGGAAGAAATATTTACTTGGTTGTATTTCAAAACACTTCGAAGTGCATGTGTTTTGTTCAAATTGAAAAATCGTTAATAATGATCTACGGCATGTTGCGCGGGTTGCTTGCGCTGTTTCTCAAGTAAACGATCGCCGCGCGATCTCTGAGGGTGGGTACGAACTAAATTTAACGTCGAAAATTTCTCATAAGGCTGTCATGGGCCTGGCATGTAAAACTCGTGGCGCCATCTAATAATAAGATAAGGAACTAATTTTAAGACAAATTTAGGAATCTCTTAGATTCCAGAAATAGTTATCGTTTATAATTACGTTTATTATCGTATAATAAATATAATTATCGTTTACCTCTGTAGGTTCTTACTTCTGTTCCTAACTCAACACCATAATTGATCGTTTTAATTTCTCCCTCTGCTTTCTCTTTTTGTTCGATTTCTTGTGTTCAATTGTAGCATCTCTGAACAACTGCACCCCTTCGGCCGATTCCACTTCTCTTTGAATAAACTGCATGCCGTAGTAATTGTAGCCGATCAAATCCTACAAAAAACACCAATAATTAGATAAACATTTTTAAAACGATTTGATTTTTTACCCTTAGTTCCTTAACTCTTTCGTTGCCGAATTTCAATAGCTTCTCGAGTGTTTCAAGAAGCGTTTGATTGGCGATTATAGGAGCGTAATGTAATTTCAACAAAAACAAGGATATCTTAGAAACAAGCTCGGTTTGGTCTCCTCTCAGCATCAAATTGGGCAAACTTTGCAGGATATCACATACTGCTGCAAATGGCAGTATAAGTAACGCTTCCTCCAAATCGCTGCAAATAGAAGATAATGCTTTAAGCACGCTACTTTCAATTGCGATAAACAAACATTTACCTAGGTCTGATCCGTTTTAATGTTTCCAATAGAAAATCATCAGGAGTCGAAACTTGAAGAGCCATCATTAAAGGTGGTGGATTCGGAATAGGTAAAGTCTGACTAGAAGCAGCTTGATGGGCCGCATGCTCGGCTAACTGTTCTTTATATTTTTCGCATATTTCCAAACATTCGAGAATACTTTCCGCCTACGAAAATTACATAAATACCTACATAACTACAAGAGTATAACAAACATACCGCTTTCTCACTACCGATCGTCTTCTTAGAAGGCAAATTCAAACCGGGCTGTCCTGGAATTACCGTCTGTTCGCCAGTCGCTAATTCCTCCTGCTGTTCTCGTTCTTCTTCTTGCTCGTCTTCTAATACCAGTATTTGATCCGACTTTTCATACAACCTTAATACCCTATCAGCACCACAAGATACAACAAACTGACCGTTCGGACTAACCGCCAAAGCTCTAGCTTCACCAACATGTCCCTATAACATAAAAATTAATTAAAATACACCACTAAAGCTCGCTTATAAATAAATTACCTGAAGAGTTATAATCTTTTCGAACGAATCACCGTCCCATTCCTTAACTTTACCGTCTTTGCCGCACGTGAAAAAATAATGGGTTTTCGGCACGAATTGAAGGCTTGTGACGGAATCGTCGTGCGCGAATATACTTTTGTGACAATCGCCGAAGTCCATTCCCCAAATTTTCACGTTTCTATCCGCAGAACCGGTTGCTATCAACGTGGAATCCGACGATATGTCCAGGCACAAAACCGGCAGCTTGTGGCCGTATAAAGACAAATAGAACTGGAAAATTACATGAAATGTTAGTTTGTTTTAGTGAGTGTATGTATATGATATACCTTTAATGTGTCCACAAAGAATATTTTAACAGTAGTATCCAATAGTCCTACGGCTATGAACTTTCCGTTAGGAGATATTTTTAAGCATAACACAGTATCTTCTAGTTTCAAGGTTCTTGTGTGTACAGCGGATAAAACTTTAGCTTTGGATTCGCTTTTTTCGTCTGTTATCAGCTCGAATTGCCAAAACTTTACTGTATTATCGCCACCGCCAGTAACGAAACCTCTCTGCAAATGAAACATAAATTATAGTCAAGTACAAAAAATACACCATTTTAACTTACCAAATCAGGAGTTAGAGTAACTGTCCACAATTCAGTAGTGTGTGCAGGAATTTCCTCCAAAATTTCCCCGATGGATATGTCTATGATTAAAAGTTTCCCGTTTTTCAAACCAGCTAATACGTGTCGATCACCAGGTACAAAAACAGTCGTTAACACGTAACTAAAATAAAACAAAACATGACTCAAACTATCTACAATTTACATACAACAAACTCACTCGGTGTTAATTGTTCTTAGACAAACCTGCGAAGGTCTATTCCACAATTTAACGGACTCTGCACTTCCAGAAACCACAGCTAAATTATCGCTGCTGAAAGCCACCGATCTGATCTCCGTCCTATGCCCTTGGTTCAAAATAGACCTCAATTTCTGGGGTTCCGAATCCTTCTTCGACGACTGTGCAGTAAAAAGATCTATCGAATTGTTACAAAGAGCGACAGCGACGCGCAACTCTCCGCCGTTACCCAACACTAAATCGAAGCATTTCGGTTTATCGCTCAGTTTGATCGATGGTAAACGTTTCACTTCGTCGCGCAAACTAAGCTCCGCATTCTGCGGTTCGTCCGCGGTGCCTTCCTCCGACTGGGCCTTCTTTTTCTCTTTTTTCAGGCGTTTTTTCAAGCGCGTTTGGGCTTCGTCATCGTAGAGGAAGTGAAATAGCTCGATTTGCGCGTCGGTACCGTGACAACCGAGAATCTGACCGCTGGCGTCGCTGAACATGGATATCACTCGGCCTCTTCCGCCTCTGAGTAAAGCACCGGCTTTGTTGCATTGTAACGGGTGCTGAAATTATAACCGATGAGTTTCTTCGTTGGGGGAACCCGATTTTGTACTTACTGTACTGTCATCTTCGTCTTCCAGCGAGGTTATTTCTAATCGAGTCGTTAGGTTTTCTAAAGGGTTTTTGTTTTCTTTATCAGGATCTCTAAATGAGAGTTTGTATACTCTCAATTCGGCGTCTCCGCATCCTGTTACTAGAAACTGGTCATCTTTCATTAAGGCAATCGACCAAATCTGGAATATGTAAAAATGTATAACTTGTAGCGAAGAAATTTATAGGTAAACTTACTTCCGTTTGGTGACCGGTGAGGGTTCTAAAACAATGCTGGGTGTCCAAATCCCAAAATTTAACGAATGTGTCCTTCGAACTAGAGATAAGTATCTGCTGATTCTTCATGAATTGAAGTTTTGTAACAGGTCCTTTATGCCCAGTTAGTCTACACAAACCTACTTCTGCGACTGTATCCCAAACTATAATGTCGGTATCCTAAAAACGAATCGATAGAAAACACGAGTATTTTAAATTCGTTAAAATTGTTAATACTTTAGATCCTGATGCTAGTTTGTGTCCGAAACTATCATAAACTAACGTTGTAACTTCTGTTCTATGTCCTGAAAATACGCTGATAACATCCGAGGATTTCAAATCGTAAATTTGAACAATCCCGTCCGAGTAACCTGCTGCAAGATGTCGTTTGTTGGGACTCGCACATATTGCCGTTACCACAGCCTTTTCTCCCGATAATATTTGGGCCTGCAAGCAATAAATTTAACAGGTGTTAACATAAAGAGAGCTTTTACCTTTTCTCCTAATCGTAAGTCCCATATTATAATATGTTCACAGCCTCCTACTGCTATAAATCTTCCTTCTTGTCCTTCCAATGTAACGAAACAAGTGTTGCATGGATGACTCGTAATTATATTAAAATTACCTCCTGGAATATATCTTAAATATTGCTTTGTTAAACCCATCCTTAATTCAAATTAGTCAAATTTAAAATGCTTTCTAGTTAAACATAACCTTAAAATAAAAGTGTACTCGATGACAGAACAACCAACATTAACATACAAAATTTCTGTTAGAATGACAAATTCATGTATTCTAAATACAGCAAGCAATCCGCAACGTTGCCAAATTGTACAAGTTTTATTTTTTTACTTATTTCAACAAAACATATTCATACCTACATGTATCATTTTCATTTACAGTAAAAACAATTTAAGTAAATAAAACAAATTTCTATTATCGGACAAATATTTACAATGCTCATAAACGTAATTGTCAGGTAATATTTGTTGGCCTAGGTCGAAGAATTAATTTACCGCTGTCATCACAAGACATGTTGAAGTCGCTTAGAACTTCTCTAGTCCTCGAAGTTATTATGGAAGCTGCTATTACTCTTTTGTGAACGCCTAGCAGTAATATCACGACTAAAACAAAAATCATTTATTTTCCATTAAACTAAATTAAAAACAAAACTTACTCAAAACTATTGTAGACAGAATGAAGAAAGGATGATTAGTTAAAGATTGTGATAAAGATACTATCCTAGTTTCCGGGTCAAGAATCCACTGACTAGCTCCAGTTGCAACGCACAGTGATACACCAAGAAGAACAACTGAAACGATGAATAATTAAATTATTGCGAGTTAATTTACTAATTATCCCGTCAATTACTTCTCCATCTCGTCGTCGATGGATGCAAACAAGCTATAACTTCGGTTAGTCGTCTTTCGAATGCTTTTAAATCTGCAACAACGTCTACTTTATAGGTAAACATTTAAGTATCTTAAGATATGTATAGTAATACCTTCACAAGCCGTTTGTTCCAGGGACATTGTTATATGGCGCCTTATAGTTTTCACCTAAATCCTACACCATTTATCTAGAAAATTCGCTTTTACAATCGATTTATTGAGAATTCTTACATGATTAAATTTCCTAACCCTACTTCAGTTACGGTCGTTGACATTGACAGTATTGACAACTGACATACATCATACAATCGACCTTTCTTTTTCTTTTCTCTTACTGGTCTTGACATTAACAGTATTTAGCCAGCCACAACAGGATTGCTACCATAGAGAAAGAAAGATGAGAGAGTTCGATCCTTTACTAAAAATTGGCATAACGTTGACGGTGCTGCCTCTCATCGGATAGCAACATTTTTCGCGAACTAAGCGTAGATTCCTTCTATATTTAAAACAAAAATTGGCGGAAAATTTAAAATTAATTTTTGTAATTCTACTCTATTTTCTTACATTTGACAATTGTGTAGTCATTTAATAGCCGTTTCTCAAGCATGAAAAACGGCTATCAAATGCATACACAATTAACAAATTGAAATATTTAAAATACAATTAAAAAATAATATTAAATTCATGTGAAATTTTATTAAAAATTATGCACATTACAATTAGTACATCCTTAATTAATGAAATAAAATACATTGATATAAAGACAATCATATAAACTATTAAGTATAAATTATATAAAATAGAAATGTGGTAACCATTGGAATTAAATAATAAATAGAAAATTTAAATAAATAATAACAAAAACAAATATAAACATAAAACGAATATAAATAATAAAAAATAACTATTATTTAAAGGAAAAATCACGGTCAATCAAGGTCATATCACAGAAGTTACGAAAGGATACACTAAATTTAAATAAAATTGTTAGTAAAATTGTGGTTATTAAAAAATCTAATTGTACAACAAGACAGTTGGTCGGATCTTCAGCTCTCAGGGCCTACAGCTTCTTATATTGCATGTAATCTAAAACAAAAAAAAATATCAGCAGCATCGAATTCAGGGAAAATAGCGAAGAGTGAGAAATGTGTTTCGGGTGCTAAAGAAAAAGCAAATTTATTTAGACGTGATTTCAAAGTGCTAGTGAAACTATTATCATGAAAATGTACTTCACAAAGCCTCAGCTGTTTAGATGTATGGGACAAACCTAAAATATCGAACCACCTTTTTTCCGCACAATATCGGAACGAAATTTAAAAAAATGCTTTTGAAGATTTTTATCCGAAGAAGTAAAAAAACAAGCTATTGCACCTTGGTGATGCACATTCATGAACCTTTCTTCGCATTAGGGTTGACATTTTAAATAAGCAAACACAATTAGAAATAAAAAATATAAAAACTTACCAACTTAGGTTATACACAATAATGGCGTCTACACTAGTTACGAGTCACGAAACATTCTAAAAAATACAACTCGACTCGACTGTCGACAAGAACGGCACAGAACGGTAATAATTTTCGATAGCAGCGCCTCTCGAAGGATAGTAGGGAATTATCGCGTGGTCTGATATTTCCTATGCTTTAAACAGTCTCTTTTATTTTGTCTATGATTGCTACCTACAATATGTGCAGATGAGTACTGTACACACCGTAAAAAATGTATTTGTTTATATTTAATGCTTACCAGCTACATCTTCTTTATATTCTTCTAGTATAATAGTTTATTTTAGTAATTCTTGATTTCATGTTGTGAACCTAATCAGCTACTTGCAAGGTCTTGCTTTACTTTCTAAGGATTAGATTCTAAGGATCAGAATGATAATTAGTAAATTATAAAGATACATTTAATAATCATTCTCAACTGTGACAATAATGTAGATTCATTTTACATAATAAACTTAAAAGGGACATTCAAGTGTGAAGTTTAATATTATTAAAATTCTACAAACTATGTTAAAATATGTACATAAAATTAACTATTGTCATAATCTGTATATGAACATAAGTTTGTGCAAAAAATCTAATTTATAATAAATACAACGTTCCCTTAAATTATATTGAGCGGTAATGAAGAAGCTCGAAAAATAAGAGAAGACAGAAAAGAAAAAAATATAGAACAAAATTTTAAATAAATTTCAACAAACAAAAACGGACACAACCTCCTAGAAACAAACAAAACATTTATGAAACATATTAAGCAGCCAATTATACTAATACATAAGACTAGAGTAAGATAATGAGAAAGGAATAGGTAGTAAACACGACCAACCAGTAAAAATATGTCTTTGAAAATGTCTTCGACCGCTTCATTGCATTTGCCGTTTAAATTATACTCATGTTTACTACTAATAGAGGTAATAGCATGTAAATCCCCTTATTAGTGTTACGAGTTTTAATACAAATCTACGAGGACTGTACATTACTAAATACACGATCGCAATTACCCCTAATATACATACATAAAGCATAAGAATGTAATAATACGCTGACAATGTGTAGCAAAAATCATCAATTGAATTGAAAATGCCAAAATATGCTTCATTCACAAAAGCTAAATTCGAAACACTATTTACTTGGGTTAAATAAATTACTTTATTATGCTTTAAGTGCGCATTATATTTGTTAATTCTCGATTTTCGTCATACTTTTTTTTTCTAATTATAAAATATAAATGCATCCTATAAAAAACAATAAAACATGAATAGGCAGTAATAGGTAGTCATAATTGCACTAAGCATAATTAAAAATTAAAGTTCAATTTACATTCTAATTATATCAGACAAAAATAACGGTACGTAATGTTATTAGAGCCATTATATTGCGGCAATATTTACACCTAATCTTGTATTAAACTAATATTATTTTGATCAATATACATACACATTCCGCCTATTAAAAAAAATTGAGCACTTTTCTTTTTTTCGTTAAAAAAGACAACGTTCCAAACATCTCTTACCGATTAAAATTCGTCAAACGAAATACAATTTAAAATATGATTTTTTTTTATCAAACGTCATGGAATTTTAACGATAAATTAGTTAAAAAAAGGCGATAATTATTATACAAAATTTTATGTCTTGTTGAACGGCAAGAAATCTTCGAAACGTAACAAACTATTAGATAAATCACGAATTTATGGCTTAAATAACAAATTGCATTTCCAAAAATTTAACAAACGTTCAAGTCCAAACATCCTAACATTGCGCATAATGGGGACTATTAAATCAAATAAAATTTATCGTTCTGCCCAGGTAGGCAAATTCTCGCAACTAACGAGGGAAAGGTTCAAACATTTTTTTTTAATCGTTGAGACATAATTTCTATTAAAGTGCGATACGATAATGTAGATTCTTTCCAAAGTCCATTGAATACGTTTAGAAAATACGAATGGAGAGGAGTACTATGGAGGAAGAATAGAAGAAACGAACAAAAGTGAAATGTAAAGTGAAATGTTTAATCTTTGACAAGATTAAAAAGCCAAAAGTACACATTGGATGATGCCAAATTAAGTCGTACTCCTCTCCATTAAAATTACTATAAATTTCATTGTCTACATTAACACACATAATACTAAATAAATATATAAATATGTATACTCTTACAAGAGCGTTATTGATGTATATAGAAGTGATTTTTGTACCGTACTCAATCGACTTTGGAAAAACCACCAACAGAGAGAGCCTACATTCCAAAAAAATAATAAAAATTTACATGTTATAAGCCACGTAAATCGGATCCAGCTGATCGGCCAAGAACCCATCCCGCAAGTGCATGCGTTGCTTCTCTCCTCTCGAATTTATCGGCACCACGCCGGGATCCACCACCACCACAACCCCGACGATGAGATGGTGCTCCTCCAAAACCGTATTCGTCACCAACGGCACCAGATCCAAAGCCTCGCTTTCGTTTCCATCTAATTCCACCACTACGACCAGCAGATTTGTCCACGTAAACACGGCGCTGAAATATTAAAATTAATCATCAGACTTACATACAGAAAGTATAAAAATATAGTCGTTTACCATTCGGCGATCTTTTTATGGCACCTCAGCACGCTATTTTCTATATCTATGGGGTGATATCTCATGCCTCGTAACATAATGGTTTCGTCTAAAGCACCTACGACGAAGACGGCGTCGTGCAATTCCGGACAATCGGCCGCAGCTGGTAGAATATGGTGAGAGGAACCCAACGATTCGTTGTCGCTCTCCCTGCTTATGATGGTTTCGTCTGTAGCGCCGGCGGTTTCCAGCATTTCGGTTCGCCTCAGGAATCCCAAATAGCCCGTCCTGGCGTACACTTCTCCAGTGTTACCTGAAATTACACCATTGTACATCCATGCGAATTAATCAACAGAGTAGTTAAGGCTATGCCGGTTCTGGACCACGGTGATCTAGAACCTTAACTACTCAGTAGATTATATTTTGGCGTATTTACCAGTGACTAATCGCGCGTTGAAATGATCGCCGTACTCGCTCTCTTCACCGTAGATGGTGAAATACCCGCTGGCGTTGTGCCCGCTTTGCACCCATATTTCGCCCAAGTGCGAATCGCCGCATTGTCCTTTCGTCTCCGGATTGGCGATGATGACCTTGACGCCGGGCAATAATTTCCCGCTTTCCATCACGCACAAACTGTGCGGACTGCCGCGTTCGACCAAGCTCACCCTGTCGTTTCGCAAAGCGCGCAAATCCACATAAACAGTGGACGGTTCCGGACTGGAAGCGCCTTGCAGACAAATGGCCACGTTCACTCGACATCCGAACGACGTCGACACGGCTCGCGGACTCAGCCCCAACGGGCTGAACAGCTTCGAAAAGCTGGTGGTTAGATTCATGCGGGGTCGTTCTTCGGCCACCACCACGCAGGTTCTCACGCAAGCCAAGCTGACGTTTCTCGTTTTTAGCTGGTTGACCGAAGAGCCGAGGCCTTTGGTGCACAGCTCCATCACGCCGTACGAGCAGAACGTGTCGCGGACTTTGTATTGGCTGACGGCGGTCAACCAAAGCCCCGGATTCACTTCGACTTCGGACGGCGGTATCAAAATCGAGTGGTGACCCGAGTAGATGCTGCTCAAGCACCTGAAAATTCAGCGATTTATTCGCGCTAGTTGGCATTTTAAACGAACTTACCATAAAGCGAATCCGAGTCCGCAGTACGGGTCCAAACACAAAGCGATATGTCTGCTCGGGTACAATTCGCAGGCCAATTTCATGCTTTTGCACAAGTTCGTTACGGCCGCGTGCGATTTTTTAATGCCCGCCAGCATGCCGGTGGTCGATACGCTAAAGTCCAAATAAGCTATCATTTCGGCGGTCGGAGCCCTGTATGGCACTGTCAGTTTCTTCTTGGGCATATCGTCGGTGTCCAAAATCGACGGCCACGATTTGATGTCCACCACGTTGCTGGCCTCCTTCGAGCGAAGGAGTTTGATCACAGCCTGGATCGAAAGCACCAGTACGGATTTCGACACGTCGACGATCATCCTGCGCAAACCACGACGAATAAAATTAGCGATAATAGTACTCGAAATAGACGAGGGTAAGGTGAAAAGTTAGTTGACGGTAACACAATGACAGATCGCGATTTTCGGTCGATAAATTATATTATTCTCCTTATTAAGTCGAAATCTTTATTTTTAGACGGTTCTAATTGATTATGGGGCGTTCTAGATTGTTCTAATTGGTTCAAAACAGTTCTAATTGATTCTGGGCAGTTCAAGATTGTTCTAGACAGTTCCAAATGATTATGGGGAATTCTAAATGGTTCTGAAGCGTTCAAAATGTTCTAAATAGTTTTAAAAGATTCTGGAGCGTTCCAAATGGTTTCTAGACAGTTCGAAAATATTCTGCCCCGTTTTAGATTGTTTTAGATAGTTCTAAATGATTCTCAAGCGTTATATACGGTTATAGACAGTTTTAATTGATTCTGGAGCGTTCTAAACAATTCTGGAGCGTTTTAAATGTTTCTAGACAGTTTTAAATGATTCTGGAGCGTTTAAAATGATTCTAATCGGTTCTAATTGTTTCTGGGGAGTTCTAGATTGTTCTAGACAGTTCCAAATGATCTTGGAGAGTTCTAAATTATCCTGGAGAGTTCTAAATGATTATGGATAAATTTAAATGATTTTGGAGCGTTCTAAATGGTTATAAACAGTTCTAAATGATTTTGGATTCAGGTCGAGAACTTTTCACCCAACCCTTGTAGATAATGAATACAATGTGATTTACCTCACTGTCGGCAACGTCGTTTGTAAGTTCTGCGGATGCGGAGGCCTTATAGTAACCGGTACGGCGCCCACGTACAAGCACCCGTAGAAAGCGCATATCAAATCTAAACCGGGCGGGAAAATCAACGCCACGTGATCGCCGGTATTTATTTTACCCTTCTCGACGAGCAGACTGCCGACTCGTTCGGCCTTCTTGTGCAACTCCAAGCACGAGAGCACCTTGGCAACGGCGCCTTTGTTGTTCAACAACGTGAACAACACGTGATCGGAGGTGCTGTGAGCTCGCCAACGTAGGATTTCGGCGATGAATTGTTGCTGAAACGGGAAGGAAAATTCGATAAACGCGTTATAAAGCGAATTGATTTGTAGTTGTTAGTACCTTCTTAGATGAATCGCCGTCTTCGTCCAAAAGACCGCCGACTTCCCTGCCCTGTGCGCTCGCTAGCCTATTCCCTTGAACAAGAGTTCCGACAACAACAGACGCCGGTCCCACGTCTGAAACACATTCCGTTGCTGAAACGCAGAAAGGACAACATGCTGTAGCACTCAAGCGGAAAGCTTTCGTTATGTTAGTTGATCGAACGGGTGACAAAAGAAATCGTAAAAAAAAATAAAATAAAATGAACGTTTCGTCGTGTGGATTTTTTTTAAACAATTACGGTTAATTTCGATTTCACGAAGGAATTCGCAGTTGCTTTCGGGAGGGTACGTTAATAACAAATCAGAGGGACCTTATATTTAAAAATGACGATTACATTACATAAACTTTCGTTTTTTTGTGCTCGTGCGTGCTGTTACTGTTTGTGTTGCTTATACAAGCAAAGTTAGATTAACTTGTGAGTTATACGTTAATAAACGTGTAGTAAAAATTGCACTAAAGCTAATTACGATTACTGAATAACAAACCTACAGAAAGGGAGTTTAATGGGATTAATTACTAAGTTAATACGCAACTGGATGTTAAAAAGGGTAGCACTTATTTTCTCTCAAAACTACATCAACGGTAAAGTTATAGTTCAAAACCTTTTACTATTAATTCTACCTACTCGAAAGGAATATAAAAAAGTTAATCGCAGATCCAACACCTCTGATGCAAAAATCCAACATAGAAAATAGAAAGATTCACAGTAAAGTTACGCCATCAACCACATTTTTGGTTAATAAAAATAATACAAACTCTAAATACACATCAGAAAAGAACCTTACAGTAGAACTCTTTCAATTACAACTACCGTTTCGAAATTAAACAATCAGGTATTCAAACTTTTCTAATTTATATAATAAACATTTGTAATTTTTATCCTTAGTATCATCGAGGTAATGATGTAAAAAGAAATGATATGAGGTTGATGATGGCATATTTACCTGTATGGACCTCTCGGGGTTTAGGCAAATTGGTGACGCACGTGTGAGGACACATGAGCACGTTAGCCGGATGCAGATTCCCATCCATGAATCTTCGTTTAGTTTCTGACAAATGGATTCCTCCGAGCGGGGTTTTCGGCAGATAATTCGGCGGTACCAACGCCAAGCAATAGATCCCGACTTGGTGGATCGAATCAACCGCTTGCAGTACTCTCGACATCCATTGGAAAGACTACAAAAACAATCGATTTATCATAAAAATTGCCCAACGCGATTCAAAAGTACGATTTACTTCTTCTTCGCTGCAGTCCGGTCTTTGCTCGGCTATCACGCATATCCGTTCGTCCCGTAAAACTTTGATGCTAAACACGGCGATGCGTCCTCTGTAGATAAACTTCATAGGCTCCACGGCCAGCACTGTGGCGATTATATCGTCGACGTTATGTTTCCTTCCGGTGACCGTCATCAAACCGTCGCGGGATCCGCAGACGAACACCAACCCGCCGGGTCCCAGGAATCCCAACAGGCCGGATCTCGTGTATTCGGCGTCGGAAATCGGCTTGCCGTCGGTGCCCAAAGGTTGCACTTTAAACGTGCTGTTGCTGAGACCTTGCAGACCCCAATACTGCGTGCCGGTCGCGCCGGAATTGACGCAAATCTCGCCCACCTCGTCAGTTTTGCAGAGATACGACGGTCCTTCCATTTTCACCACCACTATAACGCAACCTACAAAATACGATCCAATGAGTGAATATAATTAGGATTGTAACGAAACTACTTACCAGGCATGACTTGCCCGCAGTCTTGTAACGTCAACGAAGTCAAACTGTTCTCTTGGTCCACTCTAACCACGCCGTAACTCAATCCTTGCATGGACAACACGCCTCTACCGGTAGCATTAACGCCTGCTCTGCCGGGTCTCCTCACCGATACGGTCAGAACCTCGCTGGAGCTGGCGCACGGGCAGATGGCGTCTGCTCTTAGCCCTTTCGTTTGGAACACCGACAGGAATTGATCGCAACTACTCAACGACCACGGATTGGCGCCGTCGGCGACCAGCAGCATCCTCAACGAACCGAGATTGACGTCCTTGTGGTCCTTGGTGGCCAACAGGCCCCAATGCAAGTCGCGCGATTTGACCACGGCCACGGAAGCCCGGTGTTTCGTTATCATCTGCATCCAACTGGCCGGATTCACCTTCATCAGAGCGTACGGTATGTAGATGACGTGCATGCCGTTGAGGACGCTCGTCAGCACCGAATGCCACAGGCCGACCTCTCGCTTGAAGTCCAACACGCAGACCATGTTCTCGCCTTCGGTGTAGTTGCAGGACATGGTCAGCATGCGACAGTGCTGCACCATCGCGGTGCGCGTCACCGTGACGCCCATCACCGAACCGTCGCGATCGGTGCTGTATTCGATGTAAGCCGGCGTTTCGTCGGTCAATCTGGAAATTAACACCATCAGATTTGGTCGAGATAGGTTCGCGGCGAGAGCGTTTACCTCGGCGTCGGAGACCAGTCTTTGGGCGTTTTCGCCAAGTGTTCGGTGACGAACCACGTCAACCTGGGCCAGCCTTTGAATTGGATCACCTCGCCGGAGGTGGTCTTCGGCAGGCCCTTCAGGCAGGCGTCGGACGTGAGGGCGAGTTGTACCGCGCAGCTGCCTAAGAGGAACCCGATTTGCAGGGAACCGGCGTCCCGCCGAGTGATAGGCACTTCGATTGGCACTGGAACGATGCCGGCCAGCAGGCAACCGTAGAAGGCGCACAAAAAGTTGATCGGATCGTTGTTTGGATAGACTAGAGCTACACGATCACCACATTTTAGACTAGTATCACCGTTTTTGCTAAAGGATTTGGTCAATAGTGCGTACGCTATTTTGTGCGATCGACTTAGTAATTTACCTAAAAAAGGAGTAACATTGAAACAAAGAATTATACAATCGAGTCCGACTCACCGTAAGTTAAAGTTACTAATAATTTTCCATTCGGATCTAATACAGTTGCTACGGGAGCTTTAAACGTACCATTACCGTACCTAGTAATAGCGGCTTCCAAATTTCTAGGTAAACCTGATGGAACTGTCAATTGATCACCCACCACGGGATTCATATAACTTCCTACGAATAAAAATCAAACCGAGATATTAAACCGGCAAGTTTCGAAAATGTCGAGCTCACCTTCAGGTTTAGGTGCATTCGGATCCTTGGGGTTCGCTGCGATTTCCAATTCGATATCGTCGTCTTCGTAAAACTCGGGCAACGGCCGTCGCTTGGGTCTCTTCAACGTATTCAGCAACTGCTGGATCTTCGTCGAAACTTTCCACCTGCCGGTGCCGGTCCCGACGGTATCATCCGATCCGGACGATCCGTACCGATTCACCCTATCGGCGGCCGCTCGCCTGCCCCCTTGCGCTGTATTGTGCGTCACATCAGGCGGCTGCGAATCTACTCAAAAACAACACGAATCAAAACTCGACCGCCCCCATCGGATTGTAGCACTTACAAGGCCTGAAATTCTGAAGGACGTCGCTGATTTCGGTGATCTCGATGCGCCGCTTGTCCTCCCAATTCGTCGGCGGCGGCAACCGAGGTCTGTGATGCAATGGCGGCGGCGAGCCGGTACTGCTGGTGTCCGATAGCGGCGGCGGCGGGAACATCTGCGGCGTACCGCGGTCTCTGACCCGCTCCCGTTCCGGCGTGCTTTCCACCGGCTCCTCGTTCACAATGCTATCTTCGTCCGACGAAGACTCTAAGCAGCGATTCGAATTTATACTGCTGTTCGGGTGGTTTCGATAATGATTTACTCACCGGAGTCGTGTTTATCTCGGTCAGGACTTCTCGCCATGACTGATGTTCGTTTGGACGGCATCGGCATCGAGGGTTTGTGTCTGTTTTGTAGCGCTTGTGCGAGAGCCTGTTGCACGGCCTCTTGTCGAACTTCTAAAATTATCAAAAAACACAATGTTTCCAATGTAATTATTAAGCAAACCGAAAGAGATTTGTATTACTACAAAATTTCTACACTACTAAAATACTGGTATATGATGCTTTCTACCGCTCGACGTGTGTTACGTGTGTTGAATATTAAAAATCGGCATACATTTTGAGGAAGAAAATAATTTGGATTAGAATTAGAATAATCCAAAAGTGACGAAGATAGGGTTTGTAGATATCAAATAAATAATATGTTGTGAACGAAATCCTTATTCCATAAAACACATCTGTGAGTAAAAGTAAAGTAAGGAGCCCAAGCTATTCATTCAACAAATTCAACCCAAAAAAATTCTGCGAAACAACGTCGGGTTTTATGTTTCCATTTTCTGTTTGTAAGTCAATTTTGATACCGAAACAGCGTCGCATAAATCCCGCGCGGAGCCTCGTGGACGGATGAAATGAGTTTCTTAGGTTTAGTAAAAGTTAATAAGGCATGTCGGTAGACAAGACAAAGTCGTAAACTTGCAAGGAATAAATGCAGTTAAACTTTTTGACGACTCCGTGTGATGCAAACCTTCCGGATTCGTCTTGGCGACAGATGTACCGAAATAAGAACCGTAAAAAAAGTTTTACCCGGAAAAAATATTCCCATGTGATGGAGAACAAACAACGAGTTTCCAAATAGGAGCCGCGAGATTTGAAACTTTCCGAGTGTATTTTTAGGAGTTGAATTTGTTGTATGTCGAAGAATATATAAAAATCCTTTTTCGAGATGTACGAGTAAAGGAATTAATAATAAAAGATTAATTAACCACTATTAAAAAATCAATACTCCCCTATATTTTATAATCGAAAACATTAAATTTTTTAATAACGTTTTATTGCTCTTTAAATTTCTTTACCCAAATTACTTTCTAGTTGTAGGTAATAATGAATATTCCATACGTAGACAAGTATATGGTGTATCGGTATAATTTCGCCGCATCAGCCTTCATAAATCGGGGCGATAAAACAATTTTATTATATTAACCACACTAGGATGTAAATGCAATCCTTTAGTTAATTATTCCTTTATTATCTTCCAGCTTTTCATCGTTTTTACCTCACAGTCTCGGAGGGCTTTAATAACGCGGATTAAGTTAAAATAAGGAGACATCAAAAGAAATGAAGTCGAAATGAAATTTTAATTAGAAGATTAAATGCGCGATGCGACAGTAGGACAAAAGTTTTTTATTCCTTTAAGTCACGAAATTAAGCGATTTTTTCATCCAATTAGGAATAATTTATACAACTCGTCAGTTACACATTTCATCTCGAAGACTAATGAAAAATTGAAAACTAGTCATTAAGAAACTAGTTTATTTGAACTCATTATAATTATCAAGTAATAACTTTAAGCATAAGTATTATTTTTAAATATTTAAACGAATTTTTGGTGATGAATTGTATGATTACACAACATGAGAATATGGATACGAAAAGCATGAGGATTAGTAGCCGATTTTTCTGTGATTAATAACAAGATATCTAACCTTTCACCGTGTTTTACCCCTTTATGTTTTCTCAGTTCTTATCTTACCTGAATGGTACCTGCTTTCATTGCGTGTTAACCTTCTGTTCCCTTTTCGCAAGGCTCTCGTTGCAGGACTAACGCCCGTGACGGATTCCTTGGTACGTTTTTCCTCGGCTACATCTATATACATGCAAAACTACACTGAGCCACATGCGATCCTTTTTTTTTATTCAAAAAAAATAAAAATAACCCGATTTCGAGGTGAAAGAAAATGCGTTTAGAAAGCAATTTAAAACCAAACGAAACATTTATTTATCCATACTAATGATCCGCCAAAAAATATAGATTCATTGCGCGCAGTAAATTCGTTCGTAATTAATTTAAATCGAAAATATCATCGTTGAACAAAATTAACAAATTTGACATATTCATTCGGATTGAAATTATTTTCGAACGAATTATTCCGAGCAAATTGGACTTTTTCCGAATGATTAAACACATTTTCCCGCACAAAAAAAATATAAATATAACGAACTTTTACACAAAAACATAGTAAATAAATTAAATGAAGACTTGCGATAAAAGCGATAATTAACTGAAAACCTAACCTGTCGATCACGTTTTTTTTTCCTACGAAACGTACAAAGGAAAATAAAGAATAGTCAACAAAGCAACATGCTAAACATCCCAAAGCCATTCATTCCTTTCGAGAAGACGACAAAAAAAACAAGCGTACGACATTCTACACAAAGGTCAAGAGTACAACCAGAATTGAAATGGCGCATTTGAAGGCTCGAAGAGCCGTAATAACGTGCGTATATTTTCGAAATTTTTCGTAACGCGGCCGCGATATTAATCGGAACGTTTGCGCTGCGAATACAAATTAGGACGAAAGAAATAATTGATTTATTTATTTACCTAAGCGGAGAAACCGCGTGCAGTTCGAAAGAAATAGAATGGCCGGACGAAAATAGACTATCAGATTAATGTCGAATGCGCCAGCCAAAATCGCGCTAAAGTCAGTGAACTGATTTTATTTCGTGCACAATGTAAACACGTGAGTTACGCGACTATGAAATGTTGGATAGGATCGGAAATACCACCTGTATCTATATGCGGTTATTTGTTTTTATTTGGCGTGAAAATCCGTTTGTTGGAAATTCCGAAATGGGAGAGATGGAAAATTACGATTTTCATTATTACATTAAAAAACTATTATCTACACGATAAAGTACCTATTGGGGAAGTTTTAATCGATTTAATCCATATTAAATGAGACGATAAGAAGTGCCAAGTTTTCAAATTCATCAGCCGCCCTTCTATTTTTTTAGGTCAATTTTCCTGAAATAAATCCAGTCCCTTTTTAAATTACCGAGCTTTATTAGTCGGAAATTGAGTCTCGTTTCAAAACAAAACATGTTTTTCAATTGAAATTCAATTCCCAACGTTCGCAATTACTTCTACGATAATGGAGTATAAATACGATTTCCATGGATAAACCTTAGTTTTCAATTTCGAACAATCTTCTTTAGAAACGGGGATTTCTTGACCTCGAATTTTCCGCCTCGCAAAGCGCCGTCTCCTTAAAAATTTTCAGCTCAACAACTCTTCTTTAAGTCGACTCTATTTCAAGTTTCCGTTTCAGGTAATCTTTAGATGTCTGTATGTGTATACACGTAAGAGCGATAGTGATACTAAGAATTTTTTCACTTAAATATAAAAGAAGCAATTTTCACAAACTACGTGCCATTATGAGTTGCACCATTACGTGTAATGAAACTCTATTTGGCGTGAACAAAACTAAAGAAATGGGGCGATTTAAGTTCAGAGGAAGATTTTAGATTTTACAAACAAAAATAGGACAGCAAAAGAGATGAATCTATTTAATTTATACATGTGTATAGACTATAGAGCAAAGAATTAATTAATTAAGGGCTATGAACTCTGCGGTCGATCTATTTCGTGACGAAAAAATTCCATTATTCAGCCGGGAAGTAATTTAAACCTCATGTGATGCCGCGGGTATTTTTGAAAACAAGGTTATATTCTTGCAGATAAGCTAAATAATACTAACGAAAGAAACTTCTACCAAGTGTATTCTTAAATTTCTACTGAAATTTTCCTATTACTATTAGCATTAAATCAATCCATAATTTAAATAGAACGTCGCAAGGACAATAAAACGCGGATATTCATTAAAATAAATCCAGTTCCGCAATCTCCTCAATTTTAGTTTTAATCTGAATTATATCCGCAGCACAAAAATATACCCATTGTTTTACTACAAACGACTCTTTTATCTTTCGAAAGACGTTTAATGGAAAAGTTCAGTAAATAAATTTGAAAATGGCTTCCTGGCAAATCAACACAACAAAAATAAACGTTTCGGAATGTAGAAAATTTAAATTTTAATTACGAAAATAATAGTATAATTTATTACAATTTTATACTTCGCATTTTACGCCGAACTTACCGCGTCTGGTCACGTAATTTCCGAAATATAGGAGAGAAAATTCAGAAACGGGAGCAACAAAATCGTGTAAAATTGATGAGAGAAAAATAAGATAAAATATATGCAAAACGTAATTCACGTCAAGCTCGCCGCTTTCGGTGGAATGGCCCTTGTCAAAAAGTGACGAGCAGAAAATTAAATTTTTCTAAAGTGGATGATGTCGAGTTTTAAATAATGCACCGCGGAAAAAATATTTCGCCGGCATTCGTGCGCTCGAAAAGTAAATTACAAAGTTGGAAAATTTAATTTATAGGAAGAATAAAATGCGTTTGATACTTTCGAAGTTGAATATAGGGCAAATGCTTTATATTGAACTAAATGCTACAGTAGGTAGGTACCCCAGTGATAAAGTTCCAACCTATTAATTACTCGCAATTAAAATCGCGCGCAGAACTTTTCTTTAAACTAATTTAGGTAATGCATCGAACTGTACCAGGTTTTAATTAAAAACATAAAACGAAAATTTCTAAACTAGTTTGATTTTTCGCTTTCAAAGTTTCGATTTGTACGAGTCGTTGTGTGCACGTTAACCATACCTCAAAACCGCGAAAACTATTTGCTAGAATGGAAATATGTCTTTCGCGATACAGAAGTTGAGCTAAAAATTTTTCGAGCGTCGCGTTGAAATAAAATTTCGAAATTGACAACCAAGGGAAATCTTTAACACAATTATTAGGGAGCTGTCGAGATTAGATTTACTGAAATTTCAAACGGAAAAACGGTGGAAGTGTAAAAATAAGATATCGAACGTCGAAGAGGATAAGAATGCTTTTCGCGGACGCCAATCCGATTATATCCTAGATTTATAATCCAAAACCTATGGGAAGAGAAATTTAATTTTACCTTTACAGGCGGGTATTTAAAAAAAAATTGAATCGATAACGGGACTTGCAGACTTAGAATTCCAATTATTCGGCAGATGAAGTTTAATATAAATTCTAAGTTCTGGTGGATGCTCATTAATATTTTAAATTCATAGAATTTCGGTGGGCGCACTCCATCCTCGATTTTGTACGGTATATACGCAAATGTGCCGGAAGTAAAATACATTTAAGCAAACAGAATCACATAAAAGCATTTTCGAAATAGTATAACCATCAACAACTAGAGAAGTCAAATCTGACGTCGAACCTGAATGATAGCGCTTCTCGTTGTGAGTGACGCGTCGTTGGGTTCGACGTCGAGTGTGCTGGTGTTTCCCATTACCGGGACCGCCGCCGATGCCTCCACCGCTAACGGGATCACCGCTATTGCCGCCACCGCTGTTCCCGGTACCGCCTTCGGTACCCCCGCTTCCGGCTAAAGGTTAGAGCAAGACAAATGTTAGGCACTGGCGAATCGGCGAAGGATGGAAACGTTTAATTTTCTTAGAGAACGGACTTTTCTGGTCCATTAAAAACTTCGTAGGAATAAAACAGTCCGGCGAATAGACGCTGCTTTAGTTTGGTTTTAAATTGCAGTTTCGAACAAGTCGGATGTAAGCTTAGCGATTTTAATGGGGCGCTTTTTTAAGGCGAGCTTTCAGCTCTATCTGATACTCCTCCAACTCGAAACTGCTATCGATAACTTTTCCCATCCTTTGCTATTTTTCTGAGTGTTAGTCAAGCAATTTTATGAATTATGAATGCACGAACAGGAGCGTAGTTCAAAAATAGAGTATCTTTCAAGTTTTCTTTCTTTTTCGACTTGGAAAAATATCGATTATAAAAAATAAAATAAAAACAAATTCCCTTTTGGACTACACCACTGATCCAACATAACTGTTAATGTAAATAGGAATGACTTAATGGCACTAGAGGTTCTCTTGTTATTCGCTGTTAGTATATGTTTCAGTCATTCAATTTATAGTGATGCAGGTCTGAAGACTATTTATACTAATGAATGCCTAATGAATGTGGCCGTGTTCATAGAACTGTAAGATGTCGTTTGGTTCAGAGGATTAATTTGATACTGATGTTGGATGGTATGGTTGCGACAGAATAACAGAAGACAATGGAAGATTAATATTATATAAAAATATATACATATATTCAAAGTTACTTCCTCTTGCATAATTAATATTCACAGAATGTAAAATGAATACCTACAACCCGGTATAAGTAAACAAATGTTTAAAACATGCTTCATTAAATGCTGGTAGTCACATTTGGAAAACCATTATTAAAAATACAAAAATATATTTGGTTAATTGAGTAAACAAGACAAATGTAACTAATATTGGAAGAAATCTATACAATTAATTATTGGTAATAAATGCACATTGCAACTTTACTGTTCAGAAAGAATAAAAATTATTATTAATTTTCAGGAATTACTCCGGAAATCCTGAAAATCAATAATATAATCTTGAATAGAAAATCGGAAGGATATTAATATTTCTACATTAAAAACGTGACCTGATCAGGAGAACTAACTTTTAATTCATGAAAAATTTAATAAAGTCTAGTTAAAAAATTTGATATTTTGCTGTATAATAGGTATAATATTCGACATTAGTCGAGATAAAAAGAGTAATGAAAAGTTTTTATTCACTCCAAATTTAATTAAAAGCATAAAATTCTCTTTGTGTAATTAAAATCGTAGGGTCTGGAAAAGATTTTTTTACGTTCAAATGTTCGATTATCAGGTAAAAGTGCTAATAAAAATTTAGCCCAAAGAATTTTATAATTAAAGGTGTTTTTATCTTCCTTATACAAAATTAGATTTAGAGGCGTTCATTAAAAATTGAAATTATAGCATTTTACGCTGAAATGCGCTCAACATAATTTTATCTTGGAAATTATAAATTTTAATTGCAATTAGACGAAAATGTACATTTGTCAACAATGTAATATTTAATAATATTTTCTGAATTGATCCTAGAAATTTATTACCCACTATAATTTAAATTCTTAGTCATAACATTACAATTTAGAACGCTAAATTACTACTCGAGTGGCGACCCACTGATACAACGGAGCCATAAATCCTGTTTTCCTATGAAAATCGATCGCGATTTTCTCGACTTACTTTTATCGTAAAATTTATCAAAAAATTACATGAATGTTAATTTTTTTGTACCAACTTCAATTCCGAACAAAATTTATTTTCTACATGTCATTTCAAATCACATATGTGTAGGTATACATGAATAATGAGTAAAATAACGATATTTTAAAAAAATTGAAAGCCCCTTGGTTTACACAAAAACAGAACGGTTAAATAAACAAAAAAGACCCAACTCGGATGTCATGTTGAATTTGAAACGCGAAACCGTGTCCATATATGGAACAAAAACAGAGTTAATCCGTTTTACTCAATTACTCTCATTACTCCCGTCCGTCCGATGTCGAGCAAAAATGAAATTTTGTCTAGACCTAGACCGCTTTATGTCCATAATATTCCCAGCGAACATTAGGCCCGCGATTTTAACACGTTTCGACGTTTTCGGACAAAAACCGGGTTTATACCGTCTAGTCGTAGAGAGCTCGTAAATCCCATGAAAATAACGGATTTTCTTTCAGTCTGAGCCTACGAGATTTATTTGAACCAAGCCGAGAAGATTTAACAACTTAAATTATTCGGTGTTTTCACCACTGATGGAATAAAGCGTATAAATCGTACATTTTCATCAAATTATATGCAGTTAATATTTAACAAATATTTAATAAATTTCGAAATTTCTAGAATCCCAAGATATTTCCTTTAAAGCTAGATACATTCACATTATATAGCTCAGTAAAAAGTACTAAATCAGCTTTAACGTTACCTCGGCAAATTTTGCCTCATAATTCTCAATTCCTCATAACAGAAAACCTCTAAAAGTAATTATTCGACTGCAGAATCCCAAAAATATGTTAAGTATTCATCATCATAACGGCGACGTTTAACCTCGTTAAAAAATAAACCATTCCAACCCCAACCGTAATAAATTTATGAAAACCGAAAAAAAAAAACTTTTCCAGATAGAGGAACATTTTTGCGGGCGGAATTTTCGCCGACTCAACTCGGCCGTAAAATTCCCTCGGAGAAAAAACGGCAGCGAAAACTTACCTGGCTGGTGTTTAGGAATGTAGGGAGTGAGCAGTCGAGTCCGTTTCTTCTCATATCCTTTTTGCGTGATGTCACCTGGAATAAAAAAAAATAATCAGAGTCCGTTGGGCGTTCGGCAAATTAAAAAACTTTTCCGGAGCCGACGACGACTTTCTTATGATCAATTAAGGCCGGAACGGACGAAAAAAAAACCTAATGGAATGTTCCTAATTTGATTGTATCCCAGTTAATTTCGCGCGGGGGGAAATATACAATTCGAGACGAAGGTGTTTTTTTTTCGGTTTTAAAGCTGTGGGGAAATTCTGGGGCAGCACAAACGAAATAAAAATTTTTAATTGGTTTAACTTTTTTTCGGCTATCGCATTTTTGATTGAATTTGTTTACTACAAAAGAGAAATTGCAAAATTGTTATTAGGTAAATATTTTCCTCAATTTAGTATAAAAACGTTGAACTTGAGAACTTTAATTACAATGTTCGAAAGGAGAGTATATACGGTTCGAGTTTTCGAATTAAAAAAGTTTCCTCAACGAAAGAAAACTTTCATACGAATCAATTAGTATGAGGAAAGCATCCTGATGTAGACTAATTTAGTTGTAACTGTATCAGAGAAAACGAAACAAAATCCAATACTGCTTTAACTAATTAATTAACAAGACATTATGCACGAATAAAACAACAATAAATTTAAAATAAGTAAACACACTCACACAAATGAATTGAGTCATGCTATTACGAGCTGCATAAATATCAACCATATTTTCAACGGAAATGCATGGTGTAAAATAAATTAATTAATATTAATTAACCAAAATAACGGTTATGCCACTAATTCTCGCAATTGATGGCTATTATGGTAATATTGTAGGTTCTCAGTTGCATGCACTGTTTGAAAATTTTTTTGTCACGTTCGTGCAAAAATCGATTCGCGTTTAGCCTTTAACGGCGCGAATAAAATCAAACGGATACAAATTGTGTGCTATTAAGGGTCGGTAAATCTCTAGTCATCCTTTATGCAAAAGAGGTTAGATCGAAAGCTGACGAATAAATAGGAGCCGGGCTGATTCGCGACACGGAGACAGACGGGATAATGGAGTTTCCAGGTACCGGGGAGTCCTGTGAATTATTCGGTAGGTGTGTACCGAAAATGTGAACGAACTTTCTCTTCGGACAACAACCGATACTTCGGAATTATTCGCCGGCGATTTTTTATCCCGTCATCGTGTCCGTTTTTCTGCTATAAAATGTTTGAAAATATACCGATTATATGGAGCATTTTTATTAAAACAATGCAAAAATTTCCAATCCGAAATTTTTACGAGAATATTTATCGATTGCATACAGCTAAGAAAAACGCACCATATTCAGCCGGTATTTTAAATAAAATATGAAGGAAAGAGCTATTTAATACCGCCCTCGCTTTAGCTATATTTAAGGTCGAGGGATTCCTGAAGAAAGAAAGGGACGTTAACCTTACCCTTATTTAATCTCGTTTGAGTAAAAGGGTGAAATAAAGGAATTCGTCGGAATATTGTAATATAGCTCGTATTTAGAAATAAATCGTACAAAGCGATGCTTTCAATTAGCCAAAAGCGCCATGGAAAATTACCTTTTGACATGGAATTTATCTAAATAAAAGTAACTAAATGTGTACTACACGTATTTCATGTTAGATACCATTGTCACAACAAAACAACACGAAACGAACAAGAAACTACAAGACCCATAATACACACGCTATACAGTTTCATTAAGGTATAGGCAACTAATACACCAAACTTAATTAGTTTCTTATCGCCTTGACAAAATCAGCAACATCCTCAAGATTAGAGAACCGAACGGGCTCGTTTTGGTAGCACAAGACAATACTATCAGTGATTCCCCAAAACAATAAATAACGTTTTATTCAACTAAATTCCCAATCAAAATTGTCGCGCGACTTGCCTTTTAATTACCATTACATTTAACGCAAACCCATAAATATTAAAGTCGGTCGTTTTCCTAGAGATAAAATTTCGTTGCATTTAAGGCATTTAAATTGCAAAGGAAAGGAGACTTTACTCAAGCAGCTTTATGTCAAGTTCAGGATAACCAGCAACAGAATGAAAATTCAAATTAGAGAGCGAAGCGTGTAATGTACAGCCCCTAAAAGAGGAGTTTAAAAACGGGGATTGTAAGTGCGACTGGGTTGCAGTTGCAGCGAAATGTAATAAAAGGACGCCGCGGATTGCATGCGGGATATAATGATATTCCCCGGAAAAACGGCTGAGAAATTAATAGAGTTTCGGCATTTTTAAGCGAAGTTAGTGTTTTAAATTTTACGACATGATTGAGATTTTCCGAGTATAAAATACATCTTGTTTTAAAATCCAAACGTTTAATAGCGATTTACAAGAAACGCTCGTTAATTAATACTTTCCTCATTCAACCTAAGTAAACGTAGGAAATTCTGACAGCGCGTACGTAAAAAAAACACAAAATAAATTACTAAACGAGTTCCGTTTGAAAATGGACGAAACAAAAAAATAATGTGAGAAACACAAATCCCGCCACATCCGCAAGCATCGGAAGATTTAACAAATAAAACTGTATACCTTATGCTGATTAAATCTAACGTTTTGTATCTCTATGATCTAAATGATATACACGCAGTTTATAGGTGAAACTGTATATTCTACTGATGCCTAAGTAGAGGTGATTATTTCAAATGAATACTAATTGTAAGTCATCATTTTTAGTGTAATTAGCGAATATTGTACGCATTTTAGAATATTCAATGTAATATAAACAATTTAACAAATAATATGTTAACTTGCTATATAAACTTTAAACTAGTTAAACCGTTTTGGTGCATAAAATATGAGCTAAGAGATCGTGCTTCAATGATTTTATAAAATAATGCGAAGTTTACCCGGAATCTATATTTCGAGTATACTCTCAACTCTGCCACTCGGTAAATATTAAATTTCCCAAGCGGAATTCCATTCTCAAAATAATTTTCATATAGAAAATGTAGGTACAATATTTATTAAACCATTGTAAACTCTCGGGAATCATCTACCCTAAAATAAATAGAAAGTTAATTTCAACGGCGATATCTAAAGGGTTTCATAACACCATTATATCTAAATATTTTGCTAAAAAATTATTTAATATCATGAATCTCAGGAACTGGGTATCTGATGGCACTAATCGTGAATAAAATAGACCTTTATTGGTAGACGTGACACTGTTGCGTAATAACCGAAATGAATTATTAAAAGTTCAATTGAAGATCAAGTGATTCCGTTCGTGTCCAATTTAGAACAAGACATATGGAGATATTATGTTCAGTAAACGTATAATATTTGAACTAATGCTTTACCCTTATTGCCCTAGTTTTACATACTACTTACTAAAATAAGCCATGAGTAACATATCACATTAAAAGCTAAAAGCATCAGTGGTAACATACCTAATAATGAAACAAAGAGAAAGAGGAAGAGAAAAACGGAACGCAAACTCGACGAAACCGTTTGTAAAATATAAGATTATTATGAAAAATGAGAGAAGGAAACCAGAAAATATGAGATTTGACCTAAAAGTAATAAGCAGGGTACTTTGTTAGATAAAGAATGGATAGGTAAAGGGATTTTTTTCAACGAATTCTCCTCCAATATATTTTCTTGACATAAATTCTTCTTATACAGAAAAATATATTACAAATTACATTGTAGATCAGAACAATAAAACTAAATGGGAAGAATATTCAATTAGATTTTTGAGTTAGTCCATTACACACATTTTGCATTTAAAGAGATTGTTCAATTAATTTGAAATTATCCGGAAGAAATCACTATTTATTTAACGAAGTAAAGCGGCGATATTTCAAGGGTTTAATTTAGCGGGAGAGTTGAAACACCGAAACGACAAGCGGGCGAAAGAAAAATGAAAAATTGGAGGAAATTTATTTAGTAGGAATAAAAAAGGTCAATTTTGTTTACTGAAAAAATACAGCCGTAAATCAATAACAAAGAAAAAGCGGTTACTCAATCTCTGTCACAATTTCCTTATTTCTATTTATTACGACAATAACATTCGAGAAGTTAAGTGAAAGTTTCGAAAACGATTTAACAAACGCTGAACAGGCATAAATCTGGATTTGAAGGATACTGATACAGATTAGCGAAAAGTCCCTTTCGTTTCGGAAAATCTATAACCCTACATCCGCTCTTTCTCTCGGATTTATTTATTCCCCTAATTCCAATATCCACAAGCGTAATTTTCGAAAAATAAAACACTATACTTTAATATAAGCAATTTACCCGCGTACTCGAGTCAAGTGTAACGGTTTCCTCCTAACTTACTCCCATGAAAAACTTAGCTGTTACGTCCAATTTTTTAAAAGTTTTCCAAGTACTTCTAGACAAAATTACGGGAATTTTTATACGACGATATAATTCGGAAAATATTATCGCATAAACTTTTCCATTCGAAAGTCCGCCGGCAACAACGACGTCTCGACGACACCGCCACCGGGCGGATCTTTTTATTTGTTCTAGTTATTATTGTTACGTACCCACGGGACGCATTAAGCGTTATCGTATTTCACTCATCCTGTTTTGTTGTTGGTTCTTTTGGGATAATATGGCGTTCTTACAGTCCCCGCCATCCCGAGATACGAATATCATTTCGGTTTTACCGTTTTTATTACGGGTTTTTGAACTTGCTCACTACATGAAAAACTCGAGCTCTGTTTTGTGCACATTATCATCTTATTTCAGAACTAGCAATTTTAATGTAATATTTTTAACAAATTACTTATAAGAAAAAAATTAATACAATCATGTGTTATTGGTATGTATAATAAACATGAGACCACCAGGTATACTTAACAAATTCGCTTTAACTAAACAATTACTTTTTAATTAACACGAAATTCCAATAGGCTGTTTCAATCCTATTTACATTTCGAAGGCTGCGGGAAAAAATTAGATATTTGAATTAGGCTGCCATTGTAATTTTTATAAATCGCACAAAGATAGCGCTTTGTAACAATAGAAGCGAGGTCGCTGTAAGTATTTATTCATCTTTTGTGCGACGGCGATTACCTCAGGGAGAAGTATTTTCGATGTTACCACTCGTAATTATTTTTAGCAACGTGGGCAACGCCGGTACTTAAATTAGATAATGAAGGATGTCTTGCAACATCTTTAAACGCCAAGTATTAAATTTAGATAATACGAATTATATGTATATTCGAGCAAGCATAATGCACTATAAATTCCTAAAGAACATTATTTTTCGCTCGATAATTGTTTAATAAATCTTGCTCAGCGTAAAAAGCTCTCGTTAAACTTAATTTCAATTAGTAAAACATTGTGTAAGTCGTAAGAAATCCCGAGAAACGTTTCCTATAAAAATTTCCAAACGACGAAAGTCTCATTCTTCTCCGAAAACTTCCAGTTTTTATCGCTCCCAGGGAATACGAAATTTATGTTTTCCGGGTACTACTAATAAAATAAAACCGTCTAATCTAATGTAATGATTAACGAGTGATGCATCAAAACATTGATTTAACGTTGGAAAATGTATGCTCGGTTTTCATTAATGGTAATGGTAAAAAGCGTAAAAAACTTATTTCAATTCTTATAAAATAGGTTAAAACTATATGCCACAATTCAATTTCAATGTTTTTGTGGTTTCTCCTGTACGAGCAACATAATAAATCAAATCATAATCTTTTATGCCCTAAAACTATAGTTACAGACATAGAAACCATAAAAGATTTTATACGTCATAGGGCTTTACCGATTTAACGATATAATGCGCAACAAAACTATAGATTAAATAGATTATTAGCATTAATAAGGTCGTTGTTTATGTAACATATCAAATATTTATATGTTGCAATAAATTGATGCTATTAAATAAACATTTATTATAAATATTTTTCTAATGAATTAAACCTGGAATTTTATATAATTTATTACGATCAATTAAAATTATCCCAACGATAAATAGGAATCCATGCGTTTTTAACAATGAAGGAAGGTTAGTTAAAAATAAATCATCGGCGTGGGTTCGTAATTGCTCAAACCTAAAAAGGTCAAAGTGTCCATAGATGTAACCCTAGAGGTTAATATAGATGATGTTAACCTATTAATTTTCTAAACGACGATATAACGAAAATTTAAAATTAAAGGTAAAGAAATTCGTTAATACTGAGCCTCAATATTTCGCAATATTTTTTATTGAATTATTTTAAGCAATCACTTCACTGACTTTCCTACATAAATATCAGTGTAAACATTTTTTTGGTATTTATTATATTATGTCACTATCCTCGTGTAAAGTAATAATTATTGCCAAAATAGGACAAGAAATTTCTGTCCGTTTATAAAACAAACAACGAGGTTGAGGACTTGCATTTTTCTTAACACTTTCTCCCAACGTTTGTAGGTGGTGGCCCGTAAATTTTTTTTATCGCACTTCCATATTTGGCGACAATAATCACACTTTTCATGATTCAAGTATGTTTTAATGGAAATAAAAAAACAAGGCCGATGGCTCGTTAGTCTATAGTTTGGTAGGATCATTAATTAACTTAATTTCGGCAGTGTAGGCGCCTATTTATGTAAGGATACGGTGTTGTAATGATGTTTATAAAAATATTGAACGAAACAAAAAAAAAACGTTTCACGAGGTCGTTAGTGAGAATTGGGATAAATTAGGTTGTTTTTTAAATGAAAATTTGTATACAAAACGGTAATTAATCTCGGGTATAAAAAATTATTGTATATTAATTAACACCTCTCAAAGCTATAGTCGGTACTGTACCAAGACACTCAGTACAAGTGTTCGGTTAATTAAAACACATATTATTAGAATTTCAAACATCAAAAGCATTTCAAAACTGGCATAAAGTGCTTAATTAGTAATGAGACACGTTTCATATAGAAACTCTCCTTTGTAAACGCATTACATCTTTGAAGTTGTTGGAGCAAGAAAAAACGCGAGCTCATTCAAACCAGTTCAAATAGAGCTACAACCGCTCGATTACCATGTAAATCTACTTACGTTCTCCCCAATTTCGACCGTTAATCTCTACACCTACGACATCGCTCAAGCATATAGAACCACCTACCGTTTCGGAATTGATATGGCGGCGGCGGTCGGGGGGCGGGCGGCGGATCCTCGAACTGTTGGAGCCACTCGTAGAGCTGCTCTAAGTCTCGCAGACTCTGTTGTCTTTCCGCCTCTTCTCTAGCGATTACATCTTCGAGGCTCTCCATAATGCAGTTTAGAATGTTATATGCGAAACACTAAAATCGAGCCCCGGTTCATTTCAGAGTTATACTGTAATTTATTGTCCGATTTTGGACCCGAATGTATTCCTTGTTTTCGGTGTTTTAATATACTCTATATACTCGAATTTGAAGATATATAACTGAAATAACAGATATCTATGTTACATATCGAACAATTCCGATAATTCCAATTGAACTTGTACGCTTTCGTAAAACATTTCCATAATCGTTTCATTTTATAGTTTCGATAATAATTTATTATGTCGAAAATGCGGAGTATTTTTTAGAGAATTTAAGAATCCATTACGGGCACGTGCAAATAGACAATACGTTTAATGGCGACAATAAAAGAGAGCAAACGCTAACGGAGCGTAACTGAATTTGTATTACTCAAATTCCAACCGGCCTGGAAACTGAATAATTTTATTTTTTACTCATTCATTTCATGCGGAATGAAATCGCAAACGGATACCTAATGTCCTACATTACGTCATGTGATTTCAAATCACATGTTTACTGACAAAACATAGCGAATAATTCCATCAAAATTGAAAGTTCATTTGTATTTCTACATAAATTTTTTGTTTGTTTTTAAGAGTCACTCGGTATAAATATCAATTATATGCATAAATAGGATACGGTTTTGATTTATCCACTTAATTAACTGCTTATAGAGAGATGGAGAAATATACTTTATACAGATTGATGTATTATCAGTAAAGCCCTTTAAATAAATGGAAATCGATTGCCTTAGGCTAATAAGCGTATAATGTGTAATTGATGTACCATTTGAATCACATGCACGATTATTAACGGCTCGAATTAAAAGACAAATGTTGACATGAAATTAATTAAATTACGAATTCATATTATAAATTATACACTTCAAATAAAAGCTTAAAAAGCTTTTAAAAATAAGCTTAGGTACCTAATTAATAAAGCAGCAGAGAGAAAGCTAATAAATGTAGCATTTAATGCCATTACGAAATTTTTTACTGCGAAATTTCAACACTAACTCCTCCTCCAAAATCTTAAACGTTTTTGATTTCACAGCGCTCAACAAAAATAAACCTTTCGGCTTTTACTAATTAATTCGACTTTTGACAACCGGTAAACATTTCCCTGTTAGCAGAATGAGATATTTTCGACTGGAAATATTTGTGTACAAAAATAAATATTATGAACACATTTATGTCAAATCGAAAACGTGAAATTTTTACGGAATCGATATAGAAACAAATGGATATTTCGTGTAGCTCAATTTCAATTAAAATTTACTTTCTTTACGTTCGATATACCCAGTGACATTGACGCGAATATTTCATGAAATTTAGCAATGAATATTAGAAATCAAAATATTTATAAAACGTCAAAATCATCTCGAATACGATACTGGCTAAAACGTTTAGGGACATTTTAGGCAATTCGTTTTAACCGTCAGATTTTATTGTGAGGACGACGATGGAAACTCGGAAGCGATTAAATCGCCCCAGAGGATACAAATTAAAAATGATGTTTTCAGGATTATGTGACGAATTTTTTTTGAATTTTCTCGGCTTTTGATGTAAAAATCTCCCTTCAAGATTAGACGTTTCGCGAACAACGAAAAGAAGGATTTTTAATCGAGTACGATGGAGCCATTAGAAGATTAAATTACGGTTGTGCATCACTAACACAGAAATCATTTCGTTTAAAAATTTCGAGGAAATTGTTGTTATAATGAAATAACTTGTTTGTATACTGATCGATATCGTAAAAACGAATTAATTAAAACGCCGTTAGGTCGTTTCTGATGTCGAAACGAGAACTGCTTAAGTTTCTGATGCCTTCCGAGACAAGTAATTGCCCTCGCACTGACATCTGAGTTATTGTCTAATTCCGCGGGGTCTCTTTGGGTAGATAATTCAGAAAACAATTACGGGATAATCTAGTTTCGGTTTCCACCATAATCCGTTTACAGAGAATCTAATCATTATTTTTGGATGCCTAAATATCCAAAATAAAATTTAATGTTAAATAATGATTTGAATAAATAATGTTTTGATGTTAAATAAATTTAACATCAAAGAAAATACAACGCTTTAATATATTAGATTATTATTATTTAATTATTGTTAATTGCAAATGAAATATTTATAAATTTATGAAATTATAAATCTGATTACGGTGAAACAAGAGATATTTATGCTAGATATAAAAATTATATAATGGGATTACTGAAAATTTCAATATTCAATAAAAATAATGGCCATTTTCGTGATGGAATTTTCATGTTATGATGTGATTAGGAAAATAATAGTAATTGCGGCGTTAATTCGTATAAAAAGTACCATATCTTCATCAATTTAGTTCAAAAATGTATTTATTTAAAAACCTTTCAATATAAACGCGTAAATAATAGAAATATGACATTGACAATATTTCATAAAACCCACAAAACAGGTCAAGTGGAAGAACGTTTTTAGACATTTAAGAAAATGGAAAACCTTCTACCCTCGTCAGGTTTATTTTCTCGTCTATTTTCATTGTTAATTTTAGAATTTTCTTTAATGATGTAGCATACCATAAAATTCTTTGATCAAATGAAATTAATACGATTAATCCAAGCGAACTGGTGTTAATGCAGGTGTAATAAATTTGTTTTATACCGTACCAAATCAATATAACAAAACGAAGACGACAATAATTAAAGTAAATAGAATGAATACTTTATGCCTATTTTAAGGCCTTTACAGGAAATCGTAACCGTTTTAATGTTAAATTCATTCCGGACCAATTCGATTTATCGCTAGGTCGTTATGGCGTTCTACCTATATAAACCCCAAAAACCACAGGGAACACGGTTATCTTTAGCGGTTTTTTAACGACGTCACGTTTTTAGAAGGGGGAAAACTAAGGTTTCAATCGCCGTCACCTTCGACGAAAATTCTGATTTTACGACCTAAATTTTCTCCTCGCAAAAAAGACATCAAAACCAGTCACGCGAGTCTAGAAAAACGCGCTTTGCAGTGGGAAACGAGGAAACGTTTTCTTCCTGAATCAGCCGAAATAAATGAGAATCCTTTTATATATATGGAAATTTTCCTGGACCAATTCGTCCTGTTGTTTCGTACGAATTAGAGAACTAGAATCACTCGTACAAAAAATATGATATATTGCGCAAAATCTAGGATAGAAATTTATTGTCGGAGACAAAACCGTTTCGTATGGATAATAGTAGATAAAACACAAAAATGCATAATTCTCCTTCATTTGACGGCAAAATTTGTAGAGAAAAGAAAAAAATTCGAGAAAAGAGTTTTTCCTTTTATTTTTTCGCGGCTTAGAAACGTTCACCGATCTCCTACGACAACAACACACATGAAACTTTATTGTTTGCCGAGTAAAGTTCGGCAATTTTGTCTCGTCGAAAAGTGAGGCGAGAGAACAAGTGCGGATATAATCCTTCTAAAAAGTTATCAAATTAAATTCCGGCATTACACGCGAATGCAAGTATGTAGGTTGGCATCTCTAGTTGTATTCTTACATTTAAATGTCTCAAATACTCGGTGAAATTTGTTAAATATAACTTATTAGATTATGAAGAATAACTTCGTTGTAGAAGCCCTACTCGTATAATAAACCTCAAACTTTTACTTTAGAACTTTTGCATTACTTTGAAATGCTCAGCATCTATTTTCGAATAATATAATATGATGAATTGTGTCTGCCAAATTTTCGTCTACATTAATCATCTCATTACGCTTGTACATATAACGCATCTTAATTTCAAACATTTCTCTCAATTATCAGCTTCACAAATGAAATCCGCAACTTCGCAGACTGTTTTCGAACAGTCTCACTCATTCGTCAGTCATTAAGTTGCGCGAGTTTAACAAACCGGTGTTTAATTTTCGGAAAGAAAGTTCAGTCATAAAACTTCGTTATGAACTTTTATTAATAGCTATAATTTTTTCTGATTAACTAGAATGAATTAATTAATGAAAGTACTTTATGAGCTTATAAATTGTAGAATTAATTAAACAGCAAAAAATGAACTTGGTCTATTTTGTGAGGGAAATTACCTAATCAAAAGAGGTTTGGACTGCGGTTTAATCTATATTGTAATCCGTGAGTAGTAATTAGTGGAAGTAACTTTTACATTATCCGAACAACTTTATATAGGTACTCAATAGATTAAACATTAGCTCACCGAGTATTCCCTATTAAACCAATATGGTTCAGTTTGAATACTCAAAATAGTTCGGATGCTCACTACAAAGCTTTGAATAGAAATTCGATCCTTATAGTTTTAGACACTGCAAGCATTTTGAGTAACAAAAAGCCTTATTAACCACTAGACCCAGGTAGATTTTAGAACTTATCTAAACTTTAATAATAATCATTTAGTACACGGTTAATTTAGCAGCAGTTTGTTACTAGTACTTTATCTTTTATTACTATAGAAGTAATCAAAAGTTATTAATTACTATCTATAACTCTTGTCTTTCAACGTTTTTACCCTATTTACATAACAATATTTTACACGCAGCATTCGAGTACCTATTGCAAGTTAATAGAGAGAAAAAAAATATTTAAAGAGACTATTTAAAAAGCGAATTGTTGCATACATATTGCACGACCTCCGAGGAAGAATATTAAAGTACAATAATGCGCCCATATGTTACAACTCAACGGTGTAATGTTACTATTATACTCCATGCACCGCTTTAATTTTTAAAAAAGTATTACATTACGCAGGAAGTGGAAAATGTAATATTATGAGTGCCACGTTAGAATCTTTATTTAACTTCTTATTTATGTATGAGTTACGGAAATACCCTATTAAGAATATTTAATTTTATTTCCCTGCGGTGAAATAACTAATGTATTAAGTTAAATATCGACCAAGAACATGATTAATGCAGCGTTTTTACAAGACTGGCTTGATGAAAATTAAACTGTCGTTATTTTTGTATTTGTTCGTAATTGTGCGAATAAGCATTAAAACCGCCCCTGCTGTTCGAGTAGAAAAAATAAAGGGAAAGGAATAACTCCTCTGTTGGTACTAAATTAAAGAGACCTTTTCGAATTTTCCTAAAAGTAAGGGTATAAGGGCTCCTTCCTCGGCATGCCAAATATTTACTAAATTATTAATCAACATAAATGTGCCACGTTATTCAACCGCCATCTGGGTACAGTATCATACAGCGCGCATTTATCACAGTTGATCAAATACACCGGCATTAAAATTTATGAATTTATGACACTTCACCCAAAAATTACACGGAGCGATTCGATTCGGTAAATATTTAATTAATACAAGACTTTTATTTTGCTTCGACTGAAGCAATTAAATTTCTTTGCAAAAAACATTGTTACCTATCCGATTTGAAAATTATTGAAAGCAATACCGTGTGACATTTATAAAATGTCGAATCGTGACTAGTGATGATGTTGCAAAGAAATTTGTAACTCTTCGCTCTTGCTGGAATCTTTATTGGTACTAAAATATCGTGAAAAATGTAAACAGTAGCTTCGGTGTTCAATAAAATAACTCAAAGTCCCTTTTTGTATTGACTCACAATGACCTTATTAGACGAACGTGTGTTCGATTAAATGCGTTATGAAAATGTTTCATTGTGTAAATACGCACGTATCATTGTAAAAACAATTCGATGCTCGAACAATGTTTTTATATTAAAAATGTCTTTTCATCGTTCAATTGGAATTAATCAATTTATTGTAATCGACAAAACAAACAAACGAAATAAAAATAGAAAGGAAAACGGAGTATACGATTCAATCAGCAACTTATTTATAGCCGGACAATTGCACATTATATTTAAGAAAAAAAATAAAGTGCAATAGCTTTTACTATGACGTCAAGGTGAATGAATTACTAAACGAAATAAATTTATTAATACTCAGTTTTCCATTTAATTTTATAAATTTACCTAATTATTATTGTGCGAAGAAGTGAGAGAATAGAACCTCTAAGTTCTATAAAGAGATGATTCGCAGGTTGCCGGAACCTTAGCGAACCTGGCAAGAAAACTACCCTATTTTAGAATACTGCTTTGTTGCTATTATATTTTTAGCGTTGATAAAACTTTTTATATACCGAAAAACAAACTTAACACACACAGTCTATACGACATTAACTCAGAAATAAACTTCAGTACATCCGGTTAACGATACAATAAAAGCACTATTTTAAATACAACAATAACAATTAGAGATCTAAAACCAGCAACGTTCAACACATTAAATCCAACAAATTTTCTTTTCCACAGTACATAAAATACAATATCAAATTCAACAATTTTCCGATTAAAATTTTTCACTCTTTCTGAAATACGGTATGTTTATAAATCAAGCCGTACAAGGTGGTTAAAATAGATAATTAAATAAAGGAATTTATTGTAAATTGAAGTAGTGCAAAATTCATATTAATTTATGTTTGTATTTAATAGATAAGATAAAGTAAATGTTGACTCAACGATTTTATGAAAATTATTTATTAAACAAACGACTCTAATGCAATCGTAAAATTGTATACTAATTGAAATTTTACCACTTTATACGGAATGATCCAAAATTCGATTTAACACATCACTAGCATTTCCGAAGCGGCTTTTTACAAGTGTCTGTTTACGGCCACTTTCCTTTTCGCGTTCAACTTTCCGTTAGTTTTTCGGTCGACCGCTAAAAGTGTCTCAACGCGTCGGAACGCTTCGACAATCACATGTTACGCGACGGCGTTTTTCTCTCGTCGAACGGTAACGTGCGTGGCCGGCGGCTGCATTCGACGACGTTCATATCGCGCTCTGGCCAACGCTTCGACGTCGTTCGAGCTGCGACACATGTCCACCAATGGGACATGACGGACGCGCGTGTGGACGGGCCGTCGCGACGCGGTCGCGGCGCTACCGAGTTCCTCTCTTCAGGCCGAGAGATCAGACGGAGCGTCTCGACGACTGATTTTCCTTTTCCCTCGACTGCGAGCGGAAAGTTCGCCGGCCTGGCTCACGACGCTGCGTTGCCACGTCGATATAAATTTCCCGATTTAACAGACACTTCATTTGATCTATTGTATTAAACCCTACTAACCCAACTCGCAGAAAATCACTGTACATTTTTTGTTATCTCGTAGAATAGGTTTAATCTAATCGGATATAGAATCGCTTCCAATAACTGCAGTAGTAATAAATATTTACTGTGATATTGCGAGATTGGAGAAGCGGCAACGCCGCGATGACCTGCGTCGCCGTGTACACACATTCAATAATTGTTGAGTTTCCCTATGGTTCGTTCTTGGAAAAGGACTTCTGTGTGCACTTTTCCTCCCGCTTTGTCTAAGCTCTTTGATGCCGAATGATATCAACAGAGTGGAGGAATTCTCGACGAAAACGCGACCGTTTCGCCGTTTCGTCCGCAAAAATTGCTGGTTGTTTTGAAACAAATATCCGTTCGTACGTGGAATATGAAATGACGGTAATAATGGAAATGCTGGAATTTCTATGCATTTGCTTACCTACGTCGAGCAACAAACACTATTTATTAATGAGGTATTCGATTCTTCAAATACTTTCTGATGCTCTCGATACATCCCATAGTTCAGATTGAAACAATCTGTATATATATTTAATTCAAAATGCATTTTAATGACCACTCAACCGAAGTTTCGCAATGTGCGATACTCGATTTTAGCATAAACAGAAAATTTGTCAATATAATTAGTTTATCATCGACTTGTACTTAATAAAACAGACCAAGATAAAAGCCAATTCATATGGTGAGTCATTTAGATATACAATCTATGTCTTATTGAAATGAAGTTTAATGCGATATGATGAAATTTGCTGCTATATAAGCATTAAAGGAAATTGACTAATCCACGATGTTATTAAGAATGTGTACTCGAAAAATATAATTGATTAATACCGATTTGTAGTATCAACAAATACAATTCAATTATTAATAATATTTAATTACACGCTTGATGTTTTTATTTATTCATGTATAGTGTGAAAACATATTAATTTAAAAAACAGAGAACTCTTTTGAATTCCATGAATACCGGAACAGCTTGGAATTGTTGGAATAAGTTTATGGAACGTTTATGGAACGATAAATCTCGAGTTGACCTACATTCAAAGTAATGGTGGTTTGGACGGGGACTCCACCATAATTTCGAATCAACATTTCGCATTAAAACAATTACCTAATCCCCGCCTACATTAAACAGATTAAAAAAATCACTGTTACATTTTGTTGAAAGAGATAAAACTAATGTTTCCAAATATAGCAAGTTTTTCTTATATTTAGCTTGAGTGGCGAGTAAACATCGCGAGGAAAAATATTCGAGCCTCTGAAACGGCAATTTCATCTCGGCTTTATTGTTTTTATCAGAAATGTCAGGTTAATTTAGTGCTATTGTTCGTAGTTTCTTTGGTAAATGCAAATAAAAAGAAACAAACGTAGATGCAGAAAACTATTTAATGAACTAGAAATACAAACGTTATGGCTTTGTGTGCTGTTGCGAAACAAGGAGATAGTGATTTTTTTTAAAAGAATGTTTACATTCCGAAAAAAAGTTGAACATTACCTAATGGATTTAAATAAAATTTGCATACAGCCCAAAAAATCTTTGAAGCCTAAAGAATACCCTTTGTACAAAAAAAATCAAATTCCTATATCCCCCATTATTCTAAGCCGCGTACCGGAATTTTACAACCCAATCCTCTTATCTGGAAACCTTGTTTAGAAACGAAAGCACATCATTCAATCGAATCGTAACATAAACCGATATATTTTGCGTGAGGTTTGCAATCATTTACGCCCCTTTTTTACACGCTCGTCTGCAAACACAGACGTCCCTGTCAATTTATCAATTTTTTGCCCGTATAAAACATGTACATTTCGAAAAAAAAATCACGCCCAGTAAACTCCTACGACCCAGACGAAAGCGGTGTAATGAATGCTTATCACGTAAACAAAAATGATATAAAGTGTATAAAAGTGCAGGGTTTTTGAATTAAAAGTTCTGGTGTGTAACAAAGACGGTATATACGGGTTTTATACGGTAAGTATATCATTTTTTTGGAAAACAATAATGAGTATGAGGTGATAGAATTAAATTATTAACTTCCGTTATTGTACATTCGATTCCGTTAGTAAACGTATAGTAATGAAGATGATAGGAGAGTTTAGGTATAAAATTCGTTAAATTAAATTAAATAACATGACATGTAGGTAGGTAATAAACGAAATTTCATATACTAGGCGATTTGCAACAAAAAAAATTAAATGCGTGGAAATTTTTAACTGTATCTCGTTTTATTTCATTCGAGCTCGTCGCAAAAACGAACCCCTAGAGAGCGATAAAACGAAGGGGCATCAATTTAAAAACAAACCCGACACAGCCCTCTCTCCGATAGAGTCTGCGACTGCCGTTCTCGACGATTTAAATCATTAGAAAATAACAAGTTTCGCAAACATTTGCTTCGAAATGATCCCGTCAGCAATTTACCCGACTAGCGGAATGCCGTCGCTACTCTTTCGATTCCAAATTTTCGAACTAAATTATCCCCATCGCAGAGACGTATTAAAAAAAATCGAAATACTTACCCAATGAAAATACCGCAACCTATTAATTCTAGCTAAGATAACGTACCTGAAACAAGAAAGAAATATGTCAATTATTGGAATTCGTAAATTTAAAAATAAATCTTTCGATACGGGCACGAGCGGACTATTTTTAACAGTAAAATGCGCTTCTGTGCGAGCGCCGGCATAGTTAATTAGCGTTAACACAAATGAATTTTGAAATTTTACCGGGCGTTATGCAAACGCCGTGAAATTACGGTAGTGGAACCTACTCCACTCAGTTCAGTTACATGCACACAACGTTTCGAACGTCCGAGCAAGGTCGATCCAGTTAAAAGCGTTTGAATTTGTCGAAGAACGCTCGCACGAATTCTATTCAAACACATAAAAAAAAACTTACGATTTATGTACCTCTACAATGAGGTTGTAAGTACCTATATCGATTTAATAACGTCCTTTAGAAATAGCTAAGTACAATGTTATAATAAATTTTCGTTTAAAAAGCGAGCGACCCTAAAATGCTCGTATAACACGGTGTCCTCGAGATATTGTTAACGAGGCGACGTAACAACATTGTGCGGTAGAAAATGATATCCCATTAAAGTAGCAACAGCGCTAACTGTAAATCAAAATCCGGGAGGGTAATAAAGAATAATCAGTGCCTTATGACCCGGAGGAACGGTTCCGATAAGCCATCTGCGGCCGTTTATTTATTACAAGAAAATATTATTTCGTTAAAAATGAAAGCAATTTTTCTTTTAAGAGATTTATTACCAATTTACCGACATTCGACTATAGCTAAGGTACACTCGCAATTACAAAGTACTGCAATTACAAATCAAATCAAATAACAACCATGCAATATTCAATTTAATATTTGTAAAAATCCCTAATAATTTCACCCGAAAGTGACTGTAAAAAATTACCAGATACTCTCTTGAGTGAAAATGCGATGGTCCTAATGAAAGCAAAAAAAATGTGGCACTTTAACTTTATTTCATTTGGCGTTATTCTTTTCTCGCTCGATAGGATACACTGAAGAAAAAGTAATTTTAACGATATTAGATGACAGATAAAAGTGAAGATGACGGTAATAACCTGGGAAAACGGATTACGGGAAATGTTGCGTGGAATGATTTGTTGGATTTGGAAAACGGTAAAGAATGTAGACTGGCTTTATTATGAGAGTTGTAACATTTGTTTATACTTTGAGTAGGTGCAATTGATCTATATTTAGTTAGAAAATTTTATCTATATCATTAATATAGAGTAGAAAATAACTCGTGAAATAACAAATCAAATTTCTTAATTAACTTGTAATTTATTGCAATAACCATGCAATTTATTTAGCAGTATACAAATTAATCTCTGAATTGCAATTACAGGAATTTAATATTTAGTTAATATACAAAGCAATGTGGTTCGAATATTTTTTAATGTAAATATTAATTATACTATGGTCATCGAATTTGATTTCGTGCAATTCTGTCGTGCATTATTGTGTAAATACAAATTTAGTAGATTTAATTAAATATGAATATTAGTCCTGTTGTACTAGTATTGTAAACGTACTTACTAATAAAAGAGTAGCTATATTCTAGTTTTCTCATTACAGCTTGTACTAGATGGCTATTTACATAAATTCATTGTCACGATATCTTTAACCACGGCTTAAGAAACAGCGGATAAAATTTTCATAATCATATAAATTAACGAATGCGCTAATGATTATGTATCTAACAAGGATTTCACCGGCTACTGTTTTCATATAGATAATGATTTTTAGCATTTCTTGTGTAACAATGAGAATTATTTAGTTTATTACTAGGCATACGTAACGAAGGAGTTATATTTTTCCACGGATTAACAGACAATAGGTTAAGAAGGAAATCTTTATAATAAAAATTTTCCCATGATAAATTGCCTTTCGGTCGAACAGTATGGTCGGAATTGTGACATAACGCGTTATTCCAGATCGGTTTTTTTAGATACCGTTTGATTTTCACCTATTGCAAAATAACTGTGTAATCCTTCGAACAATTCTCTACCAAAAATTCCATTAACTAAAACAAGTTATACGCATCTAACGTTCAGTATTGTTTTTTGAAGTATGTATCGGTATGTGCACAAAAAGTATTTAATTAAATACATACCTAAGCAAACAGCTGTTGTTTTGGCAAACTGTTAATTAAACCAATTTGATATTGTCGTTAAATCCATTAAAAAATGAAGCGGACTTTTATTTTATGACACCTCCGTTAAATTATAGCGGTTCGATAAAATTACAAACATCAAATAATAGGCACATTCGACAGATGTTAGTTTTAAAATAGTGCCACACTTTGAAAGAGAATATAGAGCATCAGAAATTTATTATTATCTCATTATATTCACATTTATTAATAATTTTAACGCTGCCAATCGAGATCTAGTACAAAAATCAATTGATCGCGCATTTGCCGAGATTTCTATTGGCCCGGCATTATACGTACATCAA